TGGATAAAATCTCACAAATCTTAAGAAGTGTTAACAAACAAAAATGCACTATCATAGCAACATTCAGTGAGAATTATTATTGATTTTCCACTTAATACAATCCGATTATTGTAGACTAAATTAGTCGACCAGGCAGGGGCAATGGGGAGATGCCGGACGCAGCTTGCAATATTCTCACATATGCCTTATGTGATAACTATTTTATTCTCCGATTGTTTTTGCAGCACCAAAGCATATAAATATAATTGAATAGGCGGCTTGGGGGAGGCAGTTTTATAGCGACATTTGCCATATGCGTTGAGAGCGAAATTCGCACGTAAGCCTTTTAGAAACAGACTTCAGACCTCAGACCTCAGCCGAACGTTGGACGACTCAAATCAGTTTTTTCAGTTTTCAGTAGTGCGGCAACTGTGAACGGGTAGCATCGCAATAATAACACTTGGCCAGACATTAATAAGCAAAATTCTTTTTTAAACTAGTCAACAAGATGTTGGTCCATCGCATGAAATTGCTAACAGCCTCCGCTGGCATTTTTCTGTTTGCCATTATATTCGGCTGGGTACTATTTCCACAGATCTTAAAGTTTATGATATCGAAGGTGTGCGAGCGCATATAAATATATCTATGCTTGTATAGGGCTTCAGAATTATCCATTTACAGCAAGTCACGCTCAAGCCGGGCACTGATATACGTGATCTTTGGTCGACCACGCCCTTTCCGTTGCATTTTTATATCTACATATTCAATGTGACCAATCCTGAAGAGGTCGCCGAGGGCGGCAAGCCGCGTGTACAACAGATCGGACCATTTGTCTTCGAGTGCGTAATACAAAAAAAATATATATCTGGTGTTATTTTAAAATTCTATTTTGTGATCACAGCGAGTGGAAAGACAAATATGATTTGGTCGATGATGTTGTTGAGGATACGGTATCCTACAATATGCGAAACACTTTCATATTCAACGAGAAGGCCTCAAGTCCGCTGACGGGCGAGGAAATTATCACCTTGCCACATCCATTGTTACAGGTATGAAGAGTTGAGTGTTGAAAAGAAAAAGGTTTATATTGAAAAAAAAAAAAACTTCTGACCAAACTTCAAAGTAGATTCAGGAATGTTTGGCATATTTATATTTTTCCAAATGTTATGGTAGTTCTATAAATTTTGATGAATATTATTTGCATATGTTTAGTAATTCGAACTGGAAGTGAACTACCTAAGAGAGTGGGAAAATCAGGACTAGGGAAAAGTAGATAATAAATAATTTTTGACCTTCACTTTACTTTGTATACCCTGAACCCATTAAAAATGGGTCAAAGGGGTATAATGTATTTGTGCAAATGTATGTAACAGGCAGAAGGAAGCATCTCCGCCCCAAAAAGTATATATATTCTTGATCAGGGTTAATAGCCGAGTCGATCTAGTCATATCCGTCTGTCTGTCAGTCTGTCCGTACGTCTGCCCGTATGAATGAAAGCATCTGAGAACCTATAAGAGCAACAAACTTGAAATTTTAGCCGTTGGTCCTCCTAGTGTCCGCGCAGATCGATAACTTGCCCCGTTTCCAGGTAATCGATAAACATCGATATCGAAATCCTATTTTTTGAGCAATTTTGGTAAATACAAGCTAAAGTCACCAAACTTGATATGTAGCTTCTAGAATATTATATATACATATATCAAGTTTCTTTCATTTTATAGCTATCACCACCTCTCCGCTACGACCTCATAACTATTAATCAAGTAAATACACCAATGCCTATTAATATAAGCCATAATTCATATGCAATTGACTTCTTGATAATACACGAACTTTCGTAAGTACAATAAGAAGTAGAATCAAGATCGATTAAGAAACACAGAAGTTATTAAATAAAACATGTTTTTTCTGGCTTCGAGTTTGGGGCAGTAAGCGCCCACACACATTCATGCACGTCTGCTTTAAATTCTATCAACAGCATTGCAATTGCGATTGTATTGTTTTGTGTGCTGCCATTTTAATTCGTTTTTTTCTTATTAAAACTTAATTCTTGGTGTGGCTATTGAGTAGAAGAAATTTTTTTTTTTTTTGGTTTTTTATTTTAAATTTATCTTTAATTCTACAAACGAGCGAGTAGCGTGAGCTGCATTTAGTTTTGGAATAAGAGGGTTCAGGTTATCCCCTAGCCGGGAGCTCGCAACTAGAACCTCTTACTTGTTTAATTATGAGAGATTAATATATTTCGTTTTTCTTAAACAATTTACCTGTTTTTGTGTTTGTTTATTGTAATTTAAAAATGAATACGCTATACATAACATCTAATAATAGTATTAAAATTGTTTCGATTTATTGAGATCTCAGATTTATCTAATTTTCGTATAACCCTTAATGAATAATAATTGAGAAATAGATATGTACTTGTGCATAGAGCTAAAATCAATGACAATAGAGCTACCTGAAAAGCACTTAAAAAGACCCCGTAATCTATTGTTAGACTAGCCTTGTAAATTATGCAAATCACTTAACTTAAATTCCCAGCGAGTAGAAATTAACCTATCGCTGTGCAAAAATCAAATAAGACAGCAGTTTGCAAAAAAAAAAAAAAACAACAAAAAACTAAAAGAAATAAACAAATCACCCGTCCCAGTGCGAGCCTATATGTCTTTATGAACAACTGCGTCTCAGCGTCTCGGTTTCCTCCCCAGCCGAGAGTCGGGTTTGCCTTTGCATACAGTAAATGAGTTGCAATTAGCTGGCTATTTATCATGGTGCTCAGGCCCGTCTGCGAGCGGAACTACATTTCTCAAACATTTTACTTCTATCGCATCTAATTTCGACAGTCTATTGGCATAACCGTGCAGCGTGAGCGTGCGGCTATGATGGAAATGGTTGCCAAGGCGCTGGCAATTGTCTTTCCGGACGCAAAGCCATTTCTCACTGCCAAGTTTATGGATCTATTTTTCCGTGGCATCGATGTGGACTGTTCCTCGGAAGAATTCGCTGCCAAGGCGCTGTGCACGGTCTTCTACACGGGCGAGGTGAAGCAGGCCAAACAGGTCAACCAGACACATTTTCTGTTCTCGTTTTTGGGCCAGGTAAGCAGTGCACGTGCAAAATGATTGTATGCGAAGTTAAATGGCCAATCAAACATTATAGTTTTGTATTAACCAAAATAATTGTTTAATTACTACAAAACTTCAGCGTACTGCTCTTTCAATGTAGCTTTTACCTCAAAACTTTTCTTGTCTCTTCAGGCCAATCACTCGGACGCTGGCCGCTTTACAGTCTGTCGCGGCGTCAAGAACAACAAAAAACTTGGCAAGGTCGTTAAATTTGCCGATGAACCAGAGATGGACATATGGCCGGGAGATGAGTGCAACCGTTTTGTGGGTACCGATTCCACGGTCTTTGCGCCGGGCATGAAACAGCAAGCGGGCTTGTGGGCCTTCACGCCAGACATTTGCCGCTCATTGGGCGCTATCTACCAGCGCAAGACTACATATCATGGCATGCCTGCACTTAGATATACCCTGGATCTGGGTGATGTGCGTTTGGATGAGAAGCTGCACTGTTTCTGCGATGATCCCGAGAATTTGGAGACTTGTCCGCCCAAGGGCACCATGAATCTCGCAGCTTGTGTGGGCGGTCCTTTGATGGCCTCCATGCCGCATTTTCTTAATGGAGATCCCAAGCTGATACAGGATGTGGATGGTCTGCATCCAAATGAGAAGGAGCACGCCGTTTTTATAGACTTTGAGCTGGTATATTAGACAGTTAAAAAAGACTAGCAAACAGTTTTAATTCGATCACTCTTCCAATAGATGTCAGGCACACCCTTTCAGGCGGCTAAGCGATTACAATTTAATCTGGATGTGGAGCCTGTGCAGGGCATTGAGCCTTTGCGGCATCTGCGAAAGCTCATAATGCCTTTGTTCTGGGTGGAGGAGGGCGTGCAACTGAACAAAACCTACACCAATATGGTCAAATACACGTTGTTTCTGTGAGTAAGTAGCATTTTACGATAGACAATCAAATTTAACCTCGTTTTTTTTTACTACCCCAGTGGTCTGAAGTTTAATTCCGGCCTGCGCTGGACCCTAATCACTTTGTCGCTAGTCGGTTTCATGTCTGCTGGTTATTTGTTTTATCAGAAATCAGACAGTCTGGATATAACCGTGCCACCCAATATAATCAGGGAGTCCAATAAGGTAGCTAATGCGCCAAAACCCGATAAGCAACAGCAGCCCAAAGCATTAGCAACTGTGCACCTACCCGGCGTAAATCTATCTAATCCGAAAGTGGAGCACAGGGACCGCTACTAACTGACTTGCGTCATCATTCTAGTTGTTGTTGTTGTTGTTGTATTTTGTAGTTGAAAGCACCTGTAGTCCAATAAGCACGCGCTAATAAATAAGGCAAAGCCCAATCAGCTGTTCAGCCGAGTCGCCAAACTGGTTTAGGCCTAGCTCGCTGCACTTGACAATGATTGCCAGCGATCGCTGCTCACTAAAGCCCAGACAAGAGATGAATGACAGCAGTTTTGCGCATTCATGACACCAATAATGTGCAACGATCGATCGCTGATCTCATGGCCAGTAACTGTACCAATAAGATCCATTCGCAAAATTGATACCCATTAAAAGAGAAACGCTTAGAATGGGCTATGATCGGTTAGCATATTGATATATTGTGAATTTGAAGATCACGCAGAAATAACTTCTAGTAGGGTTAACTATGATCAGTTGGCTGATACTGAGACTGAAGTCAGTTAAAATTGTTAAAAATTTTTGATCAACGATCAATCGATTGATAATCATTTGTCAGCGACTAAGTAGAGTATTTATTAAAAAACATTACGAATTTGACGGGCTTTCAGAGTGGGCTCGGTTATGATCAGCTTGCTGATTCAAAATCTTGCATGAACCCTTAGTTTGCACCTATCTATTTTGGGGCGAAATGCCTTTATTATATGTAAAATAAGAAACATGTGAAAAATTTAATAAAACTTGTTAACAGCGTTTATTGGCCAAGTCAAAGCTATGTTAAACTATCGAAATCATCTTCAAACCAAACCAGCTCCTCCGCTTGTGCCAACTCAACACCGGGACATTCCATAGAATACGCTCCAGTATTACCAATAACTTTATTGTCGAATATGGTTACATGCTTGGGCAATGTTGTGTCACCCACAAACATTTCCAGTTGTGCACATATTGAATTTGTGTCATCTATATAGTGACTATTGAGCTGCCCAAAGTCTTCTTTAATATATATCTCCCGCTGCTGATTATGCCAAATGTCCAGTACCTTAAGTTCCGGCAGCTGCGTCAACATTTGATCGGGCCAATTTGTGAAGTTGGCATAGGAAATGCTCAGGCGTTTCAGTTGCTGTGCGGGCCAGGGATTGGGCAAGGCGGGCAGCTGGTCCAGGCCCGTCAAATCCAAATCCAAGAGACTGCTGGCATTGCGCAAAAAGTCTAAGCTTTGCAATTGGGAATTGCTAAGCAGCAGCTGCTCCAACAGTTCGGGTTGATCAAGTTGAAGGCTTTGCAATGGACAGTTGTCAGCCTGAAGCTCACGTATGTGGCCAGTTAAATGCAGTCGATGCAACTGTGGATTGTCGGAGATTGTGAGACGCCGCACATATGGAAAAGCATTGGCTGCAATTTGCTTTAATCTATTGCCACTCGCTGAAAATTGCTGCAGCTGAACCTGATCGGCACATAGACCGCCGGGCAGTTCGGATAGCTGATTGTAGTCCAGATTGAGTTGTTGCAATTGTGACAGTTGACCAAAAACACCAGCTGGCAGTTTTTGCAAGCGGTTGCCTTGCAGCCAGACTTGCCTGAGTTTGTGCAGGCCAGCGAAAGTCTTGGCCGGCAAATCGGCTAATTGATTATCAGCCAAATTCAATTCCTCCAGTTCTGTGGCCAGAGCAAAGGATGCTGCATCGAGTTTGGATATCAAATTGCCGGACAGTTGCAATATCTTGAGCTTGACAGCACCCTCAAAGCACTTGGCTGCCACATGTTGCACCTGACAGTTCTGCACATCCAAATGTTCCAGCTTGTCTAGTGTTTGAAACACATTCAAAGGCAGTTGATTTAAATGGGAATTGCGCAGCACTAAGGTCGTATAGCTATTTAGTTTCTTTGTGATGTCTTTTGTAAAATATGCGACTTCAGAGTCGAGTGGATAGTTTAGCTCCTCGCACAGATACCCATTACATTTGAAGCTTATCACTGCGACTTCCTTGGGGCTCGCAACACAGCTGTTGAACAGCATCCACATCAACAGACAGAGATATGATAGTGTTGACATCTCCACGCTAGACTTAGGTTTCCGCAACTGAAATGTGTCAATGCTTAGATCCGCCTTTTTAAAGGCCCCCCAAAAACGAGACTATCGGCATTTTATCAAAGCTAAAACGTAGACCAGCCAAAAACAGGTATGGGAACAACAAAAGAGTGAGCATAACACTTTATTATTCAGATTGTTACGAATAGAATTAAAACAAAAAATTTTGAAATAATTGGCTAAATAAAGTATCGATATCAATGACTCATACGGAAACAAAACTGGTAATTGTAAAAACATATTGTTATATTTGTAATCATTTATAAAGAATTTACCTCTATATTAAGAGAGCGATTAAGCAAGACTTTCGTTAAGAAGCATACATACAGAAATAAAAGCTATTTGCCACAAAACTATCCATACATCACTGGTTAATATCGATAATAATGTTATCGATAGATTTTGTATATAGCCTACTAACACTACCCAGTTAGACTCCTCAATGTTTATCTAAAAATTAATAATAAATTCAACCATGGGTCTGGACGAAGCTTTTGGTTGAGACATAGATTGTTTCTTGGCAGGTAATTTGTAATGCTTGTGTTAAGCAGCAGACTAGCTGGGGCCATAACTATTTGTCTTGGTTTAGAGCAAGCTCGTTAAATAGTAATATTATATACAAATATATAAAGTGTGTCCAAGTTTCGTTCAAGCTTTATTTGGACTTGATTTTATGTTTACCTTTACCGGTCACTTTATGTCACATGTTGAAAAAACTACCGCCCGCCTGTTTGTGGAATAGCTAATAAAATGTTTATGAATGCGCACAATGAATATTCGCGACGTTAAGTTCTACACAATAATAATTTTGGACCCAGTTCGCCGATAAGCACGTTCTGAGAGCCAAGTTCTCGAAACATGCATACACAATATGACATTGTGTTGTGGTGCTTTAGTTTATGGCAGCTGGCATATCAGCTGTTAGATATGAGCATATCATGAAGCGAAGGGTGGGGTGTTTTGCGTTGTCATACGTCATGCTATGTAGGCCAAGTTCAGCGGTCAACATGGCTACTCTTCCGATAATGGGGATTATGTGAAGGAACTGCCCCATTGTAAGTCAACTCGATTGTGATTGCAATTTAAATGGGCTTGTTTTCAATTGATAGCGCGAGAATACTAAAGATTAAAATAAGTGTTGCCTGAAACATGTATGTGCGGCGTGTTTCTCTGCAACTGAAGTTTTATCTTTGTTTTTGGAATCAGAGCTTATTTGGTTTATTTGCTAGCTAAGAACACTTATTTACTGATGAAATATGTACGTTGTTTATTATTTATTAATATTTAAAAACTGTTTTTGTTTTAATGTTTTTGTTTTTATCGATACTACTGTTGCTGAGCTTTGTATCCTACTCGTTTATAAATACTTTAAAGTGACTTCAAAAATAAATATAATTTGGCAATTGGTTTATCTTATTATCCAACAAATATTGATCGTTTATGCCCAATAAGTACTTACTTATTATTTTAAAACAGTCCGCAGTTAATATCCCTCATCTCGCCGAGCTAGGCCAATGTCTAAATTCGATTTTGTCACAAATTTTTGCACATGATCGTCAACTAAGCGACGGGGCCAATAAAATAATGCCTCCATATATGAAGGCGCCATAAAACGTCACAAGCATTTATTGAGCATGAAGAGAGGACTGACTGACTGATTTGTTTGTTTGTTTGTCAGACGCCTATAAAGGCTTTATAATATATATAAATGAATACGCATTTGCATGGGCAACAAAACTATTGAAGAAAATTTGATTTAAATTAAACGCAACAAACAAAATTTTCCAGACAGACTCACACAACAAAGAGAAGGGGCCTTATGCTGGATTGTTGTGCTGGTATGCAAAGTAATTGGCGGCAAATTGAATTGAAATAACGACGACGACAAACAAATAAAAGCAAAAATTTGTATCGCTAAACGAAGTCATGCCGTTCCAATTGACAGACAACAGAAAAGGACAAAATGCTATAACTATCTTTATCTTATCTAGATTTGCATGCATACACAATTATCTACAAGCATAAATATGCGTATCTGTGAGCATAAAGAATTTCAAACAGTAATTGACAATAAATAGATCGATCGATAATTACAATTTGAGTAAAACAAACACTTGGCTTCTATATACGTAATACCCTTCTTACTTTTTATTTAAAATGCAAATTGAGTTAATTATATGTTTGGCTGCGGCTTATCGTATTATTGGCCAGGAAACTGTTGTCAAAAGTTAATTAGATTAAAATTTGTTTGCATATGAAATAATTGTGCTTTACTTTGCATTTGTTTAGTTTTTGATTCGTTTTCTGTCGTTTTTTATCTTTTGTTAAGCACGGTAAAAGGCAAATTGAGTGACTGGAAAGCTGGTCGAACATGTTTCACAAAGCCATTCTAATGCTTATTTATTTGCTTTTGACTTTCAGTTCTTGGCTAGAAATTATTAAATACGACCATTAATAAGCCATGTTAATTCTATTAGTTTGCTTTTGTCGCTATTGCAAACGCTATTGCCAAATCATGGAAAATTTTGTTTATATATATATACAATATATATGCATATATATATATATATATCTCGCACCTGTAGACCGTACACAATAATGGCCATAAAAACACCCGCACTGTGATTTTTGGCGGCTGTAAGGGCAACCGACGCTTTCAATTTGGTCAACTGTCGCTCATAACTTGTTGAACAAATGCCAAACTATATACAAATGTATATGTATATAATATACATACACAATCTTTACAAGAGCAAAACAAGGCGTGAAATTGTTCAACGTAATTTTTTTGATCAAGTCGTTTGCGAAATGCTCTCTGTATTTTAAACATGCATTTTATTGTGCATTTAATTTGCTTAAAAATGCTCATGAATAGTAGTAAAGACTAAATTGACATTTCGATAAAGAAACCTTAATTTATTTTTAACGTTGATGACAAGCTTCTATAAAATGTAAAATTCTGTTTCTTTATGAACAGCTTGTTAATATATTTTCTAATTAAATATTCTGGATGCTATTTATAATAGTTGTGATTTTTCAAATGATTTAAAGATGCTGTTAAAATATTTTTATAGTATTTCATTTAATTAGTAACAGATATTAAAACAATTTTTAAATGTATAAATAAAAGAACGATTATAATGAAACGGTTGCTTGGCTATAAAATACCCAACTTATAGGTATGCATATAGAATCATGCTCACATACGAGTGAGCACTATTCTAAGAGAACTGAATAAAATATATATATATTTAAAAATTCAAATAAACGACCAAGTCCTGAAGTCGCCAGTTTATCGATACGCACATGCGATATTCATATACCAAATCCAAGATATACATTTACTCAACAAATTGCCCAACAAAATTGTTTTTGCAAAAATTCAATTAATAACAGGACGGCTCTACATATGAGTGCCCGACTGGGGGATACCCTGAACTTTTTTCTAACAACATCAAATGCAGGTCGTGCAATGCACTCGATTGCTTAATAGTTGATAAAAATACATATAAAAAATAAATATCTGTCAACCGACCGAACCACTTGCTATCCCCTCATATCTAATACAGCAGAGTTTAAATAAAAATAAAGAAAACTGAAGTAAAATAGTAGCACATATGTTCACACAATCACAATTGCAATTATATTTGTGTGTATGGGTGCGCATGTATATACAAATATTTGTGTTTTATGCCTGCTGCCGCAGCTACGTGGCTTGCCAATATAACCACACATTTTCTATATTCCATAGCCGATCTTGATGATATTTTCTGCATATGATTTTTAACTATGCTTGAAACTATAAGCCAAATATGGTGACTCTAGCTCTTAAAACCCAAGAGATTTATTAAAAAACAGGATTTCGATATCGATTTTTATCGATTATTTGGAAACGGGGAAAGTTATCGATTATCTGAGCGGGCGCAAGCAGGACCTACTTTTAAAAAATTTAAGTCTATCTCTTTTCTGAGACGACGCGTTCATTTACAAATACGTACATATACCCCTTTTACCCATTTTTAATGGGTTCAGGGCATACAAAATATTTATCAAAGATAATAACAGATATAGAAATTGTGGTAGATGAACAACTTCCTTTTTTTTTTGTACTCATATTAGCTTAATAATAATTTAATAATGATAATTAATGATAATTTAATACTTCTCGAGCAGCTTTGAACTGATGATAATATACTTTTTACATTACAAGTTCGATCCATATAATGCAAATATCAGACGTATTTAATCTTACGAAATTCCACTTAACAGCGTATTCTCATTAAGTACAGTACAGTAAATCAAGAGCATTAAATTAAACATTATCTAATTATATCGTCATTATCTATGACTAATGTTTCGACTTTGGTGTATCTATCAAGTCCGTTGACACACCCTCTCAATCTTTAACCTACGCTCCGTAATGTTTGCTCGAGTAGCCGCACAAGGAATCGTGATTCTGATCGACCCGCTGTCTGCTGAAGTATATGTTATCAGCTTTAAAAAACAAAACTGATTTGCTTTTACCAGAAAGCGCAAGGTAAACATATGCGAGTGCACAACTCTATACTATGTATGTAGAATATGTAGAGCTGTTACTCTGATAAGCCCGCAGCGTTGCGCATTTAAAAAGGTAAGCCTACACAGTTAGTAGGAATTGTTTTATACTGGTTTCTAGTGCTACTTGAACTAGTCCCAACAGTTTTCACGACTTTGCGATGTGCATATGAAAAGCTCAAATATGCCTGACCAAGCGCTTTGGAAAGAAATGAGACGGAAGGGAAGTTGTTCGGAAAAAGTCACAAACTGTGCAAATATTTCATTGGAATTATATAAATACCCGCGTTATGGCGTTAAAGGTATTTCGAGTCGGTGCGGATGTGCGGCTTCAATTAGCTCGCGGCGAAAATAAAAACACACACACCACAACAACAACAACAATAAAAAATAAATAAAATTATTATACATATGTTAAAATGATGACAACAAAAAATAGATTATTTAGCTTTTATATGGAATCACAATAATAAAGCTTTTCCTCAGTTTGTTGCTTTTGTCAATGCCCTAAATGAAATATGGCATATGAAATGTGTTATAAAGTTTATGCCGTTAATTTACGCTGATTATTAAAAGTAAATTGGATCTTACATTATTGATGTAATTTACAGATTAATATAATTTGAGCATTAAATAAATTAATTGATAGAGCAAAGAAATATTTGAATGCTACAAAAACTTTATAAAAATCCATATAAGTATTGACAGACTATTTATTGGCAACGTTCTTTATCGACTTTCGGCTTTTCCCAAGTGAAAGACATGCGGTCAAAGTATATAACGTAGTTTAAGAATTTAAGCAAATAATCAGAAAATAAAGACTAATCAGTTCATATGCTTAGTTAAAGAAAGGGTTCAGCTTATGTTTAAGCAATAAATAGTAAATGTAAAACATGGAATAGAGCCTAATGCCATATTTGGCGGCCATCTTGCTATTGATAAATGTGTAAGGTTTGATCGTATATTACAAATGTCAGTCTAGCCAACTTGTAGATAAAACAAAGTATCGAGAACTTTATAAGAGTGATAAGGGAACAAGTTAGAAGTTAAATTTCGATAGTAATTTGTTGTCGTAGCTATCAACTATCAGTCTCAAGTTAAATAGGAATTGTATTGATTGAAGGGCTAGCCACTTGTTGCTCATTTTCATTTAGATTAAAAATGTATTGTCCTTACCTATGAGATATTTTAAAAAAGTACTAGCACGAGTTTCATTTTTATTAGAAGAAGCTGTCATGCTTATCAATACAGAAAGAGTATAAAAACGGAGACTTTCCCATTGCGAATTCGTTTGCTTTTTGTAGCAATTTGTTTATATATACATTTTTTATTTATTATAATTATTATTATTATTTTTTTTTTTTTTGCAAAATCAAAACACCATGAATAGAACAAATGGTTATATAGAACTGATGAGCATGCTAAGCTACACAAAATGACTTGCTGACATGTGAAGCTGCTGCGGCCGAGCGATGTTGCTTATCGATGATGATCGCATTTTCAGTTGCCAGTGAAACGCGTAGCTTGAAACACGCATACGCTATGGGAGCCCGAGTTCGAATTGCAGCGCATTTGCTCATCTGGACGCTGCTGGCAGTGGCCGGCATCCAAGGCAGAACCGAAGAGGACGACGTGGAGGAGGCGGAACTGTACTCAACTGAGGCCACGACCGAGGCCTCAACGGAGCGCAGCAGCAACAAGCGACTAGTGAACATCGAGAGCCTTCAGCAGAACTGCGAGATCAAGAGCGGGCTCGCCCGCTGCAGCGGGTTCAATTTTGAGGAGCCGGAGGAGGTGGCATTCTTTGAGCTGCCCACACAGGTGCGCATAGCGCCAGATGGTGCTACCTATGAGCTGGGCGAAAAACAGCCGCTTGGCACACTGATTATGGAGAACTCAACATTTGTGAATTTTCCGCTGCACTTGTTCTACGAGCTGCCGCTGCTGAGCGAGCTGGATATGCGCCAGTGTCGCATGCAATATGTCAGCTGGGAATGTTTTCTTGCAGCGGATAAGCTGAAGATTTTGCTGTTATCTGGCAACGCCATCACTGAGTTGAGCGAGCGAAGTTTTAGCTATGCCAGCGAGCTGGAATTTTTATTTTTAAATGACAACAAGCTGAGCCGACTGCATCCGGATGCGTTCAAGGGTTTGCGAGAGTTGCGTCACCTCGATCTGAGCGGCAATCAGATAGAGGAGCTGCCGGAACGTTTGTTCGAAGATCTGGCAGCACTGCATCAGTTAACAATCGCTGAGAATCGTTTGCGCTTTATCAGCAACGAGCTGCTGGCGCAAAACAGCCGGCTGCAGACAATCATTTTGCAGGGCAATCAATTGAGCCAACTGGGCGAATACGCGTTTAGCTCGGCTCCGCATCTGCTCGTCCTGGACGTGTCGCACAACGCGCCGCTGGAGATGGTCGTGCTTAACCTGAATGCGGGCCGTTTGATAGCCCGCAATTGTTCGCTTATTCGCGTGAACATCTTTGGTGCCGTCTCGAATGTGGATTTGGGCGATAATCAAGTTCAGGAATTGTATTTCTCGGCACCGGAGGCGCTAGAGGATCTGGTACTGCGCAATAATTCGCTGGTGCAGCTGGCAACGCTGTCGCGAGTGCCCCGGCTGCGTCGCCTGAACGTGGCCAATAATCCGCTGTTGCGGGAACTGCCCAGCGATTGGCAAAATACGCAACTGGATCGTCTCGACTTGAGCAATACGGGACTGGAGCAGCTGCCTGAGGCGGTATTGCGTGGTATGCCTCAGTTGCGCAAGCTTAACGTTTCGGTCAATAATATCAGCGACATCGATCCACAGGTAGGCATGTTTATCGATTATTTATCGATACCAATCAAACAAACTTGTCCAACTATCTAACTATCGAAACTTATCAAACATTCATTTAAAAGGTTTCATTACAAAAACTTAAAACTTTTAAAGATCGATAATTCTTTTATTATCGATATTTATAAATTAAAAGGGAGCTATATATTAATTGAATGATTCGTAGTTGAAAACATGTATTTTTTTTTTGCGACATTTCCCTGCATTAGGTATCGATATTTAAAAGAAGTTTTGATTTGAATTCACAGGACTTTAGGCATTTGTCCCAGCTGACACACTTCTTTATACACGGCAATAACTGGAACTGCTTTAATCTCAAGATGGTAATGGATATGCTCATACTAGCGCACGGTATAACCTACATTCCCGATAGAGTCGATGCCGACTTTCCGGGCAGCTACATCAACGGCATTGCTTGCATGTACCGCCTGCCCGAGCGAGAGCAGTTACAAGCGAATTTGAAGCCTGAATTAGCAGACGCTCCATCCTCCTCCTCTGCGGCCAGCATGGAGTACGCGCAGTACAGCCAGCCCACGGAGGTGGAAAAATTGCGTAAAGAATTTAAAGCTGTGGTGCAGCACATGGAGTCTAAATTCGATATGGTTTTTTCGCAACTAAATAATTTGAATGCCAAAATGATGTCATTGGAAAACATGAATAGCTCATTGTGGAACCAGTTGACAATTACGGTGTGAATATGGAAATGATCCAACAGCGAGACCCTCGTATTTCCGTGTATAAGAATTTATCACTAACATTGTATTTACTTTATGTGTGCTATTATATAATAAAGTAATTATTTAATTCAAATTGTTCAACTGATCTTTGATGAACTATTACAAATATACTTTCCCAAAGTAAAGCTGCCAATATTGCAATAAATAGTTTGGTATGGCAACGTTTGGCGAAAACAGCAGTTATTGTGGAGTTTTGTGCTGGCAAGAATGTGCCATATTTTGGTAATGTTGGCAATGATGTGAGTAAATGAAACAAACTGATATATTAGATTTCTTTAAGACTGAATTTAATTTAAAAACTAGCAGTAACCATTCATTGGTTAATCTTTGAAGAATATGTCTTCAACTCTCTGCTCCGTCCAAACTACGCCCATTATTCCCATGTACAACTCTTTTCGTGTATTATGCAAAGATTACACCCTAACAAAATCGTTGCTTTCAGGACACCTTCAGTAACTCACTGACCATTCCGAGCTAGGGGCATAGCTTGCCGGACAGGCTATAAATTTCACGCACCGCGTCGATGATTTCCCATCACTATTTCCTTATGCTATTTAATTAAAACTCTCCTATCTATTCTATATACTAAATGGCTTTACATTTTTAATAACTCTTTCGTTTTTCCTAATTTATTCTATTCTCTCTGCTAACACCTTCCTTATTAGCTATAGGCTCTAATAACGTTACTGAAAGGGGGAATAGCTGCTCGGACGGGCAAATAAAATACGTCCATTAGAAATATTTGTATTCTAATTACGCTTACGCCATTTAGTTTCATATGTATTACATATGTATTAAATATTTAGGCTGACACTCGTTTTGTCGAAAATTAGTAAATAAATAAATCAATAAATCTATAAGAAATGTTCGATCAAGCTGACAATGCTTCAAATGTTGACACATCGTGTCTGCCTGAGTTAATACCGCATTCGAAGTCATCTTGTGACGCAAGTGAACAAACGAAAAACGAAAACAAGAGAACATTCAGTTTTGTCGCTTGAAGACAGCTTACAAATATTATTCACAAGCTTGACAAAATATTTACAGCCGAAATATTGATTTACGAAGCAAGCAAAAATCCTCCAAACGAGGTTCATTCAACTTGCAAGAACCAAAAAAAAAAAAAAAAAACAGATAAAAATTAACGCAATAAACAAAAATATCTTAAAAGGGGCTGTAGGTAGGTAATTGAATAATTATTAATTAATTAAAGGGAACTGTATATGTATACACAAGTTAAACAAGTCTTATCTTAAAAGGGGATTTTAGGGCCGCGAGTAATTAGGTAATTACTAAGTAGTTAAGCTGTATATAATCACAAGATTAAAGTCGTATATTAAAGATAACAAATGCCGACTAAATTTATCCCAGTAGCCACTTCCGATTCGTTTCAAACTCATTCTTAAAAATCTTTATTTCAACTCTTTGGAGACGTGTTCAAACAATTTCTTTTTTGACAAATTAGTAGAGAGGAGTATGTTTAGAATAATTGTTTGGTTGTGTGGTGCTGACGATTGGGTCGAGCAACGACATTTATAAATTATTTCAATATAGTAATTACTTATAACATTTTTCAAAATTAATAAACATAAGAAACGTTTAAATTAATTACATACTTCTAAATGTATAAGTTTTATTTAGAAATAGGTCCAATCGTAGCTTTTTTTCGATTTTGTGTAATACACATTTGAATATTAATAAGTTTGCTAAGAATTGGCTGCTCGTCTGTGTTTTCAACAGTTCCGTTGCAATTTATGGCCTACTAATTGTTCGGATAAACAAAAACAGAACACAGAACTTAGCGAAAAATATTATTATTGAGGGTCTTTGCATGCTGCTGGGATCGACAAATCTGATCAGATTGGCAGTTTTTGTTGGTTCGTGTTGTTTTTTAAACAAACATGTGACTGAAATATCCGACCCATGTATGCACACAGATACGGATACATGAGTATACAATGGTTTTTCTATTTAACGGTAATTGGCACACACGCACACCTCGTGCCCGCGTAATGTAAACATTCGGTATCAGCCAGAACATTTAAATACACACTAAAGTTGGCTTTTTTACTACGAAAAGAGCGCATGAGAACTGCAAGTTAATAAACGTAACACAAAAGTCGGCATAATGAAAGGTAAATTGTGAAAACTAAGTGAAAAACAATCGAGAGCTCTCTTAAGCGGATATCTACGAGTTCCTCAAGGGATCTTAAATAAATATTGCTATTTAATATTGTCATTAGGGTGACTAAAAAATTTTAAATTAGCCAAGACAAAAATTAGGAAACACTGCCCTGATCAAGATAAGATAAGAACATATTAATTAGGGGAATTAGCTTAAAAATAATTCAAAAGCGATCTTCGTTCAAAAAAATATCTATATAACATGAATATCGAACTTGAAAAGAATCGTTCAAAAGCATACAAAACCCGGTTTTTGGAAGTTTGCTTTTTGCCGATCTTTTGTAAGATTTATAATGCGAAAAAGTGACATAAACGAAAATGAAGTAGGAAAACGCGTTCTCATATCAACACACAGAAAGTAAGGCATGAATATGTATAAATCAATCAACATTGTTTTAAAATGTTAAGTTAAGTAAAATAATAACAAGTAAATAAAAAACCAACCTGAGTTTTATCGCAAACTGGAAATTTGTATTTGTTGTTTTACTTATTGTTGTTACTTTTCGTACAAAAACCTAATTAAATTGTGTAGCTGGTTTAGCACATTTCTTAGGCACACACATACACATACACATACACATAAATAGATACACTTGGAAAAAACAAGTGAAGCTTGATTTCTGTAAACAATTTAAACTGTAATTAAAACACAAATTTGTTGTTCAACTATTTGCTGAACCATAATATAAAGATTAAAATTGACTAAGTATGAGGTTTTGTTTTTTTTTTCTTTTCTATTTAGTGCCTTTTTTATGCAACACTTGAGGCGTTGACGTATGATTAGATTAATTTATAACACATTTTACTAATATGACTTGTTTGTTGTTGTTTGTAATAATCAGCGAATTTGTGCGACAAACAAATAAATCACATACGCACCGCACACACGCACATGCACGCACACATGCAACAGCAACAGCAACAACAATACAACTTAATTTAATGCAGAAGCGCGCACTTCCACTTTGGACTTTCCAATTGGAACACGCATCAGAAACTGATCAGCAAGCGAGCAACACAATGCACAAAAGCGCGTGAGAGAAAGAGAGAGGTGCAGGCAGCCCGTTGCCCGTTGCCTGCATGACAGAGGCAAAATTAATTTCGTATTGCAATTGTATTACAACAGAGGCTCGCTGCTATGGGAAATTTCCATCAATTGTTGTTGTTGTTGTTGTGGCTGTTGATGTTGTGTGCGTATAACAGCTGATCAGCGCACGCAGTTTTGCAGCTGACGCCGCTTATTGATTTTTTCTTGTATATTTTTTTAGTTGATGTACAAAGCGTTTTGCGCACTACACTTAAGCAACGCTGTTACAAGTGCTTCTGCGCATTGCTATTGTGGCTTTTGTTCTCTAACAATTTTCTGTGCACTGTTAAGCGAAGACGCTTTCGGCGCAGTCACAATAAAAGGTTTTATACGCGGCTTATCGCAGAATATTTACACAAGAAAAAACAACAATTGCTATTTCACTTTGTTGCATTTGACAAACATTTTTTCCCGTTTCTTTGCTTAACTTTTATTTATTTTTGCCAAAAAGGCGCAACAGGTAAAAATACACACACACGCACACACTAATGCAGCACACACCAATACACTAACAGGCAGCGTTGGCGCGCGCGCGTTGCGTGCTGCCGCTTCGATGTAGCTCACAAATAAATTACAATTTACGCACAATTTCTCTGTCGACTCTTGTACTACATTTAACTTGCTGCTGCCAACTGTACAGGCACAACAGCAAAAGACCAGAGTTAGGAGAGGGAAGCCGATAAAAAGCGTAACGTTTGTGACAAAATACGACGGGACAGACGAAAAAATGTACTCAACACGACAAAAAAATATTAGTACTAAATTGTTTTTGTGCGCAGTGTGGCCGGCTCTGGCAAGCGGAAAAAAACCGTGGCAATCAAATACTAAAAAAATACCAATTGTATTATTTGTAAACAGATACCAACAGCGATGATCGCATATCTTCACAAAGTTTCATAGATTTTGAACAATAAAAGTTGTCTTTTATTAAGATAGCTTATGGATAGTACTTATCGAGATTCTACATTTTCTTTTAAAATTCCGCCCAAGCTTAAATGTAAACTTATATTGTAAATGTTACATGGTGGTCAACCTGCCTTATCAACGTCAACACACAATGCTCCAATTTTAACATACATTAGTTGTATGCGTATGATAAATATCAAATGAGCATATTAGTACTTTTAAATTTTTTCTTATTAAAATATCACAGTCAGACTTTTGTCTGTTTAAGCATTGCCTTGCTTGAACGCACAGTGGCCCCAACAACGATCTGGCAGCACGCAAGGCTGCCAGAGTGACTCGACCGTGATATAGCAACGAGCATTCAGACGAAGCACCAACAAAGGCGCCAATATTCAAATTGTGAATTTCGACTTGCATCATAATAGCAAACCTTTTCAAGAGAACTTTGTGTGCTGCTCATGCTAACTATACAAACTAAAAGGTATTTACGTAGTTGTCAATTATTACAACTGCTTAAATTTAGCTTTTTAGGTTTTTATACTATTTCTTGTTGTTGTAAGGACACGCTAATAGGCGACTCATGCAAGCGAAAACCCGGTGGAATATTTTTTTCACTTCAGCGAAATCAATAAAAATGGCGCATTGCAATGAAAAATGCTGACGACATTGACACAGAAGTATGCCCCTATCCCCAACACTCCTGATATAAATGCTCACGTGGTCTGACATGTTAAGATTATAATATGAGCAGCTGCTCGACATGACTCGTCCCGACTCACCTGCTCAATGTCAAAGTCCCATTCGGGCGAGGGTGAGCGTTGTTCCGCTCGCCCACCGGGCGGCGGGGTGCACACAGCCGGCGAGCCCGCCTGCGGCTCCTCCGGTATGACGGCAAATCTGCCGCGCTGCAATATGGGCGAAATGGCACCATAATTAGCTAAAAATAAAGAAAACAAAAACAGTTAGTTGAGCTAATTAGGTGGTGGCTTGGCTTGACTTACATGTGGGCATGAGACGAAAGCGTCCAAGTGTCGTCTCAGGCGGACCCGCCGGCGTCGACGATGTGACACGAAAGCGGCCACGACGGGCGGCAGCCACGTCCTCATAGCCGTTGCCGCCCACGGCAGCTCCTCCTCCAGAACCGCTATGCATTTTTCTATTTAAGGCTCACTGCTGTAAAACTGCTGCAATTTAAGGAGCGTGAGCAAGAGAGAGAGAGAGAGAGAGAGGGAGAGAGGAAGAGAGAGATGATGAAAAGAGTGAGCAAGAGAGGTGAACTAGAGTAAAAGCTAAAATCGATAGGTCAACTTCAGTTGGCAGGCTAAGCTGTCCAAAAGGGAGTGTGAGTCAGCAAGAGGGGGGAGCCAGACTATAATTTGTTAGGCGCCACAAAGTATGCACTAATTTGGTAGCCAGCGGCGTTGCCAGCTTACGCAAAAAGTTGCAAATGCAAAATAAAATAAAATCGCCAATCATTCCACTATTCTACTATTCCCACGGGGTAAAAAAAATTTGAGTGACAGAATGGCAGAGCGAGAAGGCGAATGCGAGCCAATGTCTTGCTGCCGGCAGACAATGTGGCGTATGTGTGATATATATAAACATAGACAAATATATATTTAAATATGACATGCACTTATTTAGGCTGGGGTATTATGATTGTGCTACGCTGTTTTTAACCAAAACAAAAAAGATAATTGATTAGAAATTCGCAGACACATGTTTATATAGAGCATTACAAGACTTTTAAGACTATCAACATTTCTTCCATTTTGTAAAGTATGTTGAGTGTACATTTTCCAAAAGGAAACTACATTTTTTCATTTTTGGAAAAAAAAATATATTCGCCCCGATTAATTCGAGTTTTTTGCGATGATTTATCGAATTTCATGTCGAATTTAAGGAAAATATGAAAGCATCATTAAAACTAAATAAGGCAAGCGGTCACTTTAAATTGTAATTTAAATTTGAATAATCCCACAGATTTTAACATTAAAGATTGCCAAATCTTGCAATGAGTCCATTAAGTGCAGCCTCCTCTTCGAGGCCGTATTATTTGACCTTTGGAAGGAAAATCAAAATCACGGGCTTGAAACCGATCAGACGGTAAACAAAAAACTTGCATGCAACCGATTTTCGCCAATTTACCACTGTTGCGGGTGAAATTTTCTTTGAATCGCATTTACACCGAGGTAGATTGGATTTGGAAAGTGTGAAACACGTCTCAAATAATTTTTCATATTTTGGATATGTATTTGAGCGAGAAACATCACCTGCCAAATATTTGATCCCCACTTCCACAAAGGAGGAATTTTTCGAAATGTGTGAAACACCCCTCAAATGCATTTGAAGAAAGATCACGAAAACAAAAAAAAAATAAAGCATATTAATAAAATAATGCCTTAAATTTGGAATTTTAGACTCTAGTCTAAAGAAAATAGACTGCAAAATATGTTGTTAATTTCATTATTTTTAATTGTTTTCAAGCATAGGTTCACTTAAATGCCTTAACGAAATGTAGTGTATTCGTCTATTCGGCTTGTTTTTCCTTATCGCTGATGAAGCTTAAATTAAGTGGTCATAACAAAACCAAACTGTCTGTTCATCAATCATGCAAGCCTTTCATACAACAGTTCAATTATATTATTCGTTATGATTCACAATAATAAAAAGACAAAATGAACTTTCCATTCTAACTAAATATTTCTCAGTTTTCTTGTCAAGTGTTTTACAAATTCTCGTGAATTGTTTATTTCCACCGCTAAAAACAAAGTGTTATTAGTCATAAACTAAAATAAACGTCACACATAATAGACAAAAAGAAAGAAGAAAATTAAATGAAATGTTCCCAATGTAAATATGTGCATGTCTGTATGTATAGGTGCATCATTCATAAACAAATACATGTTGGGAAGCAGTAAAAATATTTCGCCTTAATTAAAACAAAAATGTCTTTATTGAAATGCTCACGATGTTTCAATTGCTCGAGCAAAGCGATTTAAGACTACAGCAAATTAATTGACTACGGGCTGCCAGAGATAAAATAGGAAATTTCCAGAAAATGCTCGATATGTTTTTCTGAACCTAGGTCCACAAGGTTTTCACAAGATAACTCAACTTTGGACCAACAGCGCCTATATCTATATGATATAGGTGCAGCTCTGAGAGACTAGATGACAGACAGACTTGGCTGCTGATCTAATCAAAATTATATGTAAATACGTTTCTGAGGTCGAAAATGTGTTACACATCTCTTAAGAAAATTATAATACCTTTTTATTTTGGGTGTAAGACTGCAAACTCTACGAATTCGAATTACGTTAAAAGCGCTTACTTTCCATTATTTGAGTGAAAGCATGTCCTGAATTATATTATAATTTATAATTTATGAGTGCTGATTGAAAACAATTACTTTTTTACCTAATTGAATTGTTATTGTAGTCACTAATTGATCACCTTTAAATGAACTAGTTGTTGTCATCAATTTAAGTATTCTTCTATAGTTAGTATTTAGATTTAAATTTAGAGAAACAGTTAACTAGTTTTTAGTATAATCATTTATTGATTTTTGATAAATTGTTTGAATTATAGCATTTTTGTTAATGTTAATATACACACATATTTTTTTATTATATATGAACAATGGGAACAACTATTTATGTTGTATTTTACTTTGGGCACTTTTCGCTAAAACTGCGCGCTCTTTGGCGCTGCTTTTTTGTTGTTTTTCTGCTTTTGTTGCTGTTTCTTTTGCTGTTGTTGTTGTTGTTGTTGTTGTTCACGTTCGAGACGAATTCGAATTCGTTTCATTTTCAATTCGAAACGTTTGCATAACACGCACAAACAAACAAATGAATTAGGCACAACTATACTATATGTATATATGTATACATATCTACTTTTGTGTTTTTTTTTTTTTTTGCTTTTTACAATTATTATATACTTTATTGATTTTTATTGTTAAGCTAGAAATAAATAGAAAATAACAGAAACTCAGTTTGATTTTTGAGACGGTCGCACACGAATTTCAGATTTGATTTAGCGTTTTATTTTATGCAACTGAGCACAGCTAAGAAAAATACTACAATTTGGCATGGCCAAAACCAAACAACAGTAACAACAACAACAACACTGCCGAAAATGCGGCCAAAAAGAATGCAGCACCAAAATAAACCGAAGCCCAAGCAAAACGAAACGAGTTACAACAAAATGCAGTCGACAGCCCGCAACTTCGGGCACTAATTGGCAGACAGAGAGTGAGAGCGAGCGAGTGAGTGCGGCTAGAATAAGGAGGGGGCGAGTGAGTGTAGACGAACGCGTGCCATAGTTGGGGTTCATTTACTTGTGAAAATGAAAATAAAACTGCAAGCCCAATACAAATGCAATGGCATCCTAAGAAGCAGCGCCAGCAAAGAGAAGACAAAGAGAGAGAGAGAGAGCGCGCGCCTCGCATACACATGACAAACACGTAGAGAAGAGCGCACAGCAGTGGCCGAGCGTAAGAGAGAATTTGCAATTTTTAATTCATAAAAGCACAAAAACCGCATGCTGCAAAACGGAAAACGGCAAAAGCAGCTATTGCAACAAAAACAAATGCAAACAAAGAGAGTGGGAGACGGATTAAAATGTTTGATTTTGTGAGAGCGTAAGAAATGCTTTCAGTGTTGTTGTTCTCATTTGGAAAATGTCTAAAAATTGTCTTTTGGTTCATTTTGCCTGCTGTAAAATCAACGTTAAATTGACACAAGATTCAATATGAATAACAGCTGTTCCATGCGGCGTATACGCAATTTTCCTCAGATTAATTCTAAAATACTAAAAAAAATAAAAAACAAAACAAAAAAACACGTGAGCATGGTGCGGTTATATATAACAAAAAAATGAAACGTACGTATCCAATTGGTGTGAAAAGCATATGGATAAAAAGTGAAATGAGATTAATTTAAATATGCCTGTTACGTATTGCACATTATTTTCATAATTATCTGTTAAATTTCATATAGCATACTTTTAAATGCATAATACATTCGTATTAAGATAAAACACAATCAAAAACCAAAAAAGCAAATTGAGATGTTTTTTAGACATCAGGAAACTGCAAAAAGAAACACTTTTAAAAATCAACAAACATATGCGAAGCGCTAAAATAGATGTGATAAAAGGGAAATGTATGCTAGAATAAATGCATTTGATATAGAGCAACTATTTTCACACAGTACCAATCAATCAACAGTTCAAAATTTTGACTTTCGAAGCAACAATTCGTTGCGGGCACAGAATCAATTTATTTGGTTCAGTCTTTGGGCTTCCGTCCAAACATGTGACCGACTCGTGGATGACATCATTAGTGTGGGCGGGCGAGTGAAAATGTAGAAGAATGGGGCTGTGATGATGCAGATGGCAGTCGCCACAGTTTAGACAAAACGAAAGAAGAAAACCTCAGATAAATGCACAGAGCACAGCAGGCAGACATTTGGGCATATACGAAGCAAAAAATATGAAACAGAATGCTGTTTATAAATAGTCAAAAAGCCGCTCAATATTTTTTATTCATTTTTTTTTCTTTCTCTTTTCGTAATGTTTATTGGCCTCACTTGAACCAGAGCAAATGACGACAACTTGAGCACGTGCATAGTTTCAATGCATTGCTTTAGAGGGAATGCCCCTAATGTGTCTCAGCGGTAGTTTCATAAATGCCCAGCAAAAGTGAATGAACTTAGGGCCAAGCTTCAAAAGTTGAGAATTGTATTTCAAGATGTATTTATTGCATTTTAGTTCAATTAGGCAGTTAGAAAGTCTGCCCAAGAGCTATAAGCATGATTTCATAAGACACAGAGGAGCTTCAATTATAACAGACAGATTCACATACTGATTAATAAAACGTTTAAGACTTTATAGACATCATAAGCTTAAGAGATTGTATAATTAAGAGTCGCGTCAAACATGATCTTTGTCAATGCAAAGACACGCTAGATTCGCGTCTCGCCAGACGGTCACAAAAAGTCGAACGATTGGCAATGCTAATTATTGATATTTTGTTTTGTTTTTTGACATGTTTCTCATATTTTATTTTTTGTTTCTGTTAACTTTGTTGTTCATAATTATCAGCGTGAAAACCCATATAATACAAATACCAAACGAGTGTGTGTGTGTGTGTGTGTGTGTGTGTGTGTGTGTACGTATGTGTATGCAGAGTGTGAGTCTTTGTTTTGCTTTGGATTCTTCATATGAACTATATACATATATACATATTTTATTGCGGCGCGATAAGAGGGGCCTCAACAAAAGCGTTATGATGGTTTTTTTTCGCTATCTGTGAACTGTGCGAACGCGACGTCTGAGCATAAATCAGCTCTACAATCGTATTTATATATGAGTGTGTGTAGATAAGTAGATGGTCATTTAAATAAACGTATTTACATAATGCACTGCGAAAGCAAAAGAACTTTTGGCAATGGGTGAGAAATGGCTAGAAAATGTTTACGTCACGCACAACAGCAACAACAAAAACAACAATAGCAGCAGCAGCAGCAGCCGGCAAACGTTAACGGTAACAACCACCATTTTGACTGAGCGAGAGAGAGCGCGCGAGTGTTACTCACGTGTGACTTTGTATGTGAGTGTGTGTGTGTATGTGTGTATGTGTGTATGTGTGTGTATGTGTGTATGTGTGTGTGTATGCGGGTGGCTGTGTTAAAATGTTGCAAGGGTGTCTATTAAGCCCATTGGCACTATGTGCCTGCGATCCTGCTAGCTAACAAGTCAAACTTGTTACAAAACAAATGAGTATGTATTTAAATAACACTGCTCTGGCTATCATCCGGTGCCAATCACTTTCGATTCATTTAGTCGCTAAAATTAATCTCACTAACACACTCACATATAATATTGCAGCGACCCTTGCGGTACAAACATACAAGCAAACAGCTGGCAGCAACAACAATACCAACGACTCACCTAGTAGGAAAATATTATATTTGTTTTACACGAAATTTGTGTAGATTTTTTTTACAGCTTTACTATTTTAAACAGTTTTGAGCACTTCTTTAGCACATTTGACATGCATTTTTGCATTAATAAATAAATTTCGCATTCGTTTGCAATTCTTTGGTTTTCTGTGTTGTAATTTTCTGCTAAACCCTTTTAATTGCAGCACCGCGCGCTTTGTTGACACCACTAAAAGAACGTAAATTTATATTATAGCACCCAATTTGAATTTTAACACTGCGTCAACTTTTATTATATCCAAGCCGCGAGCGCTGAGCGTAAACGCGCATAGCTAACGAATATAAACACTTAAAAAATCGGCCATCAGCAACGAACGTCATTGCTCGAAGCTCCCTCGATAGCTCGTGGTGGCAAGTCGATATTCGTCTAACGATGAATCGATATTTCTTAGCAAACTATTGTGTGCTCGCACTGCTGTGGCAATGCTGTTAATTGCGCTATTTCCGAAAATTCAAATGAAAATCTGTTTTTTTGTAACACATGTAAAACTTAATTAAGTTATATAAGTAAAATGTAATTATTTTTAAATCGATTTGGGAATGCAGTTGTTGAGCTCCTTAATACAACATTTTTACTTTTGTACGTTTTACAGCACAAGCTAAACTAAACTAAGGGCGATTTGTATTGTACGACAAATAAAGCTATTATTATAATAAATTCTATGAATTTAGTTTCTTTTGTTCCTCCTTTAGCTTGCCATCGCCAGGCGGTTTCTTGTTCTTAGCCGCATTATCCTTTTTGCCATACAACATATCCGTAAAAAGCGCCGCAAAGACCAAAACGGCACCAAACCATTGACGAGCGATCAGCACGTTACCAAATAGCAGCACAGAGCAGAGAACGGTAAAGAATTTGCGCGTGGTGGTGACCACTGAGCAAGCCAACGGTCCAAAATTGGCAACCATCAGAAAGATAAAAAGCTGACCCAAGGCACCGCACAGCGCAATCATGGACAAGTGAATCCAAACCTCCGGATGACGCAAAGCAAACTGTATAAACTCCATGCCTTCACCTGTAATAGGACCAAAATGCTTATCAAAAAGTAACATGCAGTTCACCCGCTTGCACACCTGTTACCACCATGGCCACGCCGAGCATTAGGGTACTCCAGTAGTTCATGGACAACATCATTTGCTGACCCGAGGGCGCACTAGCCGCACGCATACGCTCCTGCACGGCACCAGTTAGGCCGTCCATGGCCAAGCTCAAAAACAGCAGCAGCTCTCCCAATCCTGTTGTCTCTGGTGGCAAATTGGCCACCTTGCTCTCCTTGTACATGAATAATATGACACCCAGTACAATTGTCAGCACACATGCGTAACGCGTCCAGCTATAGGATTTGCGTCCAACCAGCACGCCAAGTATCATAACAGGGATCGGTTTGGCCGACTTGCCCACAACGGCAGTGGGATAAGGCACCCAACGCAGCGCCATGTTAGTGGACACCATGGCCAACAGATACGTCAGCGAGCTGGCCGCATAGTAGCCCGTGTGTGTGGTGTCCTCCTTTTGTGGTTTCACCGCCAGCATGCCTAAGGAAAATAAGTGGGCGTTACATAGAGAGCGGCTACGTCGATTGCCACTTACCTTTGGCAAAGAGGTAATTGCAAAAGCATTGCACCCAGACCAGGGCCAGGGTATAGGTAAACCGCTCGCCGATATTCCCATCCAGCTGCAACTGGTCTCCATACCGGCCGCGCGTGAGCTTCTCCTGGACTATGCCATACAGAAAGTAGGCAAAAAAAATGCCCAACGCGTAGATAGCGAAACGGCTGTGTTCCGGTATATTCATTGGCGTCGGTTCGATTTGCTAACTCTTCTTTAATTTAACTTTATTCTTAGAAAACTAAATTATTCTCCACGGACACCTGGCATTGTGCTTTAAAAGCGTAAAACGCTGATTTGGTACAAATTTCTAATACGTGGAGTTTAGAGATGGCGACAAGTGTCAACATGTTATCGATAAATAATATTAGGGTTACCATAATTGAGCTGCAAGAAAATTGTAATTATCGTTAAAGCAATATATCGTCTACTGAGCGGGAGGTTTTGAATACACACATATCATATCAAAATGAAAGCTCTCTTGTGCGGACGGTGAGTTTTGGTGATTTAAAATGCGAAAAGTAGCAAAAAGACAAAAAAAAGAGTTTAGAAATTGTATTTCCTTTATTTGGTTTAAAAATATGCGTGTAAAATATAATAAACTATATAACTTCGCTCTGGTTAAACTTTGTAATGCACTTAGATTTGTTCATAAATCCATACAAATATTCAAACGTCTTGAGTTTTTCTTTTTTACTTAATATATATATATATATATATATATATATATGTTTATGTATATAGCAGATACCCGAATATTATCTGATAATGGTAATGGTTGTAAAATTATAAATATAGGTCCAATATTGAACAACAACAAAGCATTAATTAATAAAAGCAACAGTTTGCAGTAAATTGGTGAAGCGACTAGGCATTAAAAGCTAAGAAAAAAATAATGGGCAGATAATTTGGTAAATACAAATAGCTAGGGACCAAAAATAATGAACAGTTCCATTTGCGACTATGATATTGAGAGCTGCATAGGCGGCAGCCAGCTATAAAATAATATATATGCTGCGCTCGAGACGACGTTCGATGTGTCCAGGGGCGAAACAACCTGATCGTCGAACTTATACCAGCGGCCATAGTGAGCGCTCTTGCAGAATGCCGTATAATGACCGCCCTCCATGGTGCCGTAGTGATTGGACACTGCATACAGCTGGTATGTTTTGGGCGTTACGGCACGTGATTCGACACGTGCCGTATACGGTTTCATTTCCAGATTCTCGAGCGGAAATTGCAAATAGTTTTGTTTCTTAATATAGGCACCTGCATTGCTGGGATCCGCATAGAAACTGTGAAAAAGCAAAAACAAGATAACATATTAGGAAATTATTGAGACAAACTCTGCTATCCGCCTACCGCTTCAGGTGTACCACTAGCACTGGTGGCAGTTTGGAAATGTCCAATTTCTTAATTGCATCACGTTTCGTCTTGCAATTGGGGCAGTTCCAGCCGTGTATTTTCTCGCCACTGAAGTACATGTCCATGCACTGGTGCAGATAGCAAAAATTTGCATTTGCCGGCAGTTCCAGGCTGAGATTCGAGAAGCACTCGTATGTGGCCGACTCCTTGGTGCAGGTTACACACTTGACGGTGCTCTTGATTTGGCCATAGAATAAATGCTGTATTATACTCTCCTGCGACTTGGTAAACTCTAGCCAGGCTTTCTCCGCGGCGCTGATGATATCTCGCTTTCGCGGCACACGCAGGGTTTGCAAATCGGAATGCAGCCAATCCATGAGAATGGTGAGAAATTCATGTGAGTCCTGTTGATCGACGCCGCGAAAGATTTTCTGATACTGGCCCACAACGTACTGCAAAATAATACATAAATAAATCTCATTTTCGGAATGTCTCCAAATTTTCTTGCCAATACTCACTCGCAAATCACGACTAGCCACACACTTGTACTGACCATTCCATAGCTCCTTGATGAGTGCAGCTACCTCTTCGATGACCTGTCCGTTTGTTTTGTTACGCCGACTTATATAGTTCTTGTATTTGTCCGATATGCAAAACTCCATTAATTGTGGCGTATTGCTCAGACACTGTAGTATGCTGTTCATATAGCAAGTGTTGCCCAGATTCTTAAGTCCAGTAAGACCGCGCCCCTGTAACGATATGGCAATATTAGTTATTAAAATATCATAAATACGATTTTGTTTAATTAATTTACGCGTCTGAGCGGAAATATGGAGCTATAAATGTTGTAAGTTGGCGGCAGCTGAATTTTGACGCCCGCTACGCAAATCATTTGTGCGATTTGTTGCAACCACTAAACCAATAGCAGAATATTTAATTGCGGTTTTAGCTGAACATGCTTTGGCTTCGGACAGCGTGCGACTGAACCACATTGGCAAAACAAATGTGCAGCCCATGAACGCTAAACGTGACGGCCTATTGATTTGGTTAAAGTTATTTTTAGGCCCTGGTCAACCACTCACCACATTGTGGCCCACAACGGGCGAGAAATCACGGACTCGTGGCGCTGTTGTCTCAACGTCGCGGCTCTGTGGTTTCGTAGAGCGATCGTAGACGGGCCGGGGTGGTGCCTCGTCGTAGGTAACCGTATGCTGCAGTTCGCTGTTTGAATTGGGTGGTGAGTCATCGGTGGGTGTGTCTGGCCTGGTACTTGTGGGCTCAGCCGGCGGCTTGTAATGCCGTTTCGCCTCACGTGCAATGGCCAGCTGACGCTCACGCTCGAGACGATCGCGTTCGTGCTGCTTGTCCAGCTCTTGACGCTCCTGTATCTTGGATTCAATACGTTTGGTTGTCTCAGTATCGTTTTGCAGATGATTTTGCGGGGTTTGCTCCTTGTACCGATTCAGCTCATCGCGCAGGCGATTGTTTTCCATTTTCTAGGCAACGTTAAGACCCATTAGTAGCTATACAAATTCAATATAGTTATTAACTCACATAATCGTCGGCCTTGCTTTCCAATTGCATTATGTTGTAGAGCACCTCCTGCTCTGCAGTGCTTAGCACAGCGCCCTCGGCTTGCAGTTGCTTCAGCTCGAATATGCTCTGCCATTTCTTGGATGCGGAATCGAGTAGCATATCGTTATGCTGTGCCCGCAGCAGCAACGTCTCCTGATCGCGAATTATTTCATTAATAGGATTTTCCTGTGGTTCCGGCGGCTGCTGATTCTGTTGGCTCTGCTCGTAGGTGCGCAGCGCTGCGGGCTTGCTGGCACGATTAATGCTGGGTCGTTGCTTGTGCTTAGTATTTGGCTCATTCATAACGTCCTCCTTCATGGTAATATCATTAATGGAAGGATATTCGATGTCATCTATCGTTTCGATATCATTATTGTTCTGCTGCGGCGCTTGTACGCTGGGATTGGTACAGTGCGTGGGGTACATCATGATGAAGTATTCGTAGCCCCCCTCCAGAATTTGTATGGGCGTGCGATAGGTGACGTCTGGATCCCACTGTAAAATTAAGTGTATGAATATATTTGAGATGTTCGATCATTCCTATCCTATTTATATATCTTATATTTTTGTCCAATGCTCTTATGGCGAGCCTGATAGTTGCAGAAATTGATGCAGATATTATTAAAAACAAATAGGCTGCTTACATTACAACTCGGTTGTGGACCGATTTTTCCTATTGAAGCTATGGGATATAGTAGTCTGCTAATAATACGATTTTCTTCATAGTAAGTTTGCTTAAGCACTAAAAAGAAAGTTTCTCAAACAGAAACTCTGTTTTCGACAACATAGTGATCCGATCCGATAATGCCCGTTGGTGGGCTATAAAATAAAAATATAAATTTACGCACATTTTTCAATATGTCCAATAGGGTGTAAATGGCTGCGTTGCCCGTCGGATGTGCATCCTTGCTGTTCCAGTCCATTAACACAACCGACTCCTTGACGGAGCGCGCGGCCCACGAGGCCTTGGCACTGCTGCTCAGGCATGCCTGTAATTTGCCCGCCGACATGCTGCAAGAACATAAGCTGGGCATTACAACGGGTGTTCCCAGGAGTCGAGTGTGGGGACTTACCCTGGCGTTATCAGCTCTTCGGGCACATTGAATGCACAGTAGTAGGTTAAATGCGAGTTGTTGTAGTCGGCGCTGTTGCGGCAGTCCATGACCAGCACAGATTTTTGTTGCATGCGCCGGAACAGTGCCTCACAGGTGATAACGCCGAGTTGTGCAAATGCCGCAGCGCTCGCCAATGAGCCTTTCTCATCAATTGGTTCCACTGACGGTAGCGGCGGGCTAATTGGGGCACCATTAGTCTTCGCATTGCCGCCGCCTGGTGGCAGCAGTTGTTCATAGCGTTTTCTAAGCGATGTGTTAATAAGCTCCAGCGTGTCCATGATGCGACGATTGGAGTCAGTGTCGCCGAGCACTTGCCGCACCGTCAGCTTGTGCTGGTTGTAATCGGATTTGCCACGTATGGCTGACAGCATATTGAAGTACTTCATGTAGGTGATGTAGGCCAACTCTTGATCTCCATCCAGGCGATAGTCCTCAGCGGTCAAGTACAGTTTGCGCGCCGTGTTGAGTAAACTGAAATTGGATTTATCATTTTATTTTTTAAAATTTGTTGACATCAGCATGAGAGTTAGTGCACAGATGCTGGCACACGGTTGCCTCTAGGTTTTTAGGTGGGGCGGGGCGGTGTGTGTGGTGTCCACTTACATTTTCATGCTCTTGTTGCGCAAGTCTGGAATTGTCGTCCACTTCTCCAGATCTTCTATTCTGTCGCCCATGTACAGTTTCTTCCACTGTGCCATTCTGTGTCCAGTGTGTGACAGCAGGCCCGTGTGTTTCCGTTTAAATTGGATCTGCTGAGTCCCTTGGTCGTGATTTTATGTGGGTGCTGCTGCCCGTGAGCCACAGTTTGTGTGTTTGCCAAACACAGATGTTAATTAACATAACAGCGAGAATAACAGTAGCATTCACTAAATAAGCAAAAAGTGCTTCGAAATCCAGCGGTAGCGAGTTTGTTTCAAATATATTTATTGGAAAATACAATTTTTTTGGCTTAGCATTAAACTAATTAACGCATTGATTTAGAAGATTTAGAACGACTCAGCGACTCGTTGACTTCCACAAAGTTATCGATAGGCAACAACAGCTGTGCATTAACCCTTATGTAAACATTGCTTAGCTCACTGGCCGATAACATGTGGTGGCCGGTCGATGCAATTGCTTCATAGATTGTGGCGGACGATAACAGTCATTCCCCTGTACACGTCGCTTTTAAATACGCGAATCATTAAAGTAAGATTGCATACACTAATATTTATATTTGACATTTATTGATTGCTTTACAAATAAATGAAAATATATTGACTACAGAGTAAATGAAAAATGCCAATTGTTGGATAACACAACATAATTATTGCTGCTTTTACTTGTCGAACCATGTTTGCTTTGGAGCCCTATTACGATATTTACTGGCAAAGACAACGCTGCGAATAAATTTCTTTACCTGATAAATATCTGTAAACAGGCCAGGCAGATTTGGATTCCTACACTCAGGACCATACGCCACAATGCCGCACAGCTCATCACCGGCTGTGACCGGACAGCCAAAATCGTACATGCATTCATTGTCCTGGTTAAATGCATGCGTGCACGCAATGGTCTCGGCCAGACGCATGTGTGAATACTGGCTCTGGCAATCCATCTGATTTAACAGATTCACCTGCAGGGTGCGCATATTCTTGTGCTCGGAACTGCACGCCACCACCGTCAGCTTGCCATAGTCCACAATCGGACGGCTGCATAGCTTAACGTATGCGTGGTCATCGCCCGGTATGGGATCGACTAGCTTAATGACAGCAATGTCCATGAAATTTTTGGGATATTGGTACTGATGGGGCACGCTGATAGTCTCGATCAAAGCGAATTTATTGCCAAACAGCGTCTCCACGCTCAGTTCGTTCAGTCTGCGTTTGAACTTGTGCATGCAGCTGGCTGATGTCAGGACGTATAATGGGGCATAGTAAGCAGCGCCACAAGCGAATCGATCTTCATCCATAATGCGGAGCAACCACTCGCCCACATACGCATTCCTAGTCAGCTGATAGCCATTGGTGTCAACTGTCCTTACTGGCGGCCTTACGCGCAAGTTTATTGCCAAACTGGCCTGGGCTGCTCCTCTGACTGGTTCCATGAAAGGTACCAATTCCAGGCAGAGAAGCACTACGAAGTGTTTGCACTTGCGATCCATTTGATGTTGTCTTGCAACTGATTGTATTAGCCATTAAATAAACTATAAAATGCCACATCTAATTGGCCTTAAATTTCACTTTACGCCTGATTGTATAACTGATTATATTAAATACACGTATATACTATATGTGCATATGCCCTATTATTTATATGTACGAAATTTATGTAAAACTTAATTAAGTACTGGAATACTGCCCACTAGTAAAAGCCACAATTTAAATGCAATTGACTTTTTGAGAATGTACAAATAATCTATAGCAATTTGTAGTAGTTAGTTGTAGTTTGAGTCTTCTTTGAATTCTATTAACAGCATTGCAATTGCGATTGTGATATTTTCTGTGCTGCTATTTTAATTCGTGTTTCTCCCATTGATAGATGTGGCAGCTTAGTAGAGGCGGCGGCAAGTGGTGCGGTTTGTGTGAGTTCGAACCCTACCTGGGTAAAGAGCTGTTTTTTTTTTCTGTTATGGCTGTTGGGTAGAGGCGGCAGCAAGTAATGCGGTCAGTTGCGAGTTTGAACTTGCCTAGGGAACATTTTATTTTTAATATATCTTTATTACTACTAAAACAATCGAATGCGTGGCTCGAGCTGCATTTGGTGTTGGAATATGAAGGGTCAGGGTATTCCCTAGTCGGGAGCTACCGACTAGAACCTCTTACTTGTTATTCATTATATACTTTAGGTTCGGTCCGTTTTTTTCACATTTATCAATCTTTTTGGTTTGTAAAATGTTTAAAATGAAACGATTTAATTATTACAAATTTCTTTTATCTGTTATATTGTCATATTTTATTTTATAACTCAACGTCAAAAATTCATAGTACCTTAATAATTGTAATCATATTGCAATATCCAAAAACGAATTTTAAACGAATTTATTTTTGACATAACATGGTTCGGTTCAGATAATGAAAAACTCTACACATATAAATGTATTTATTTATTTAGCCGGCTTATCTTTCTTATTTTGATTTTTTTGATGTATTTGCCGGTTTTGGTGACTTTGACGAGAAAATATTGCACGAGGCAACTGACCGGACCTGACTCCGCGTTCAATTCTGCTTATGAAGGGCTTAAGCTTCATCAGGTTCGTATAAATGCCGGGATTCGATGTGTTCCTGCATGTGGAACCTACCGAAGCGATTCCAAAGAGCTCGGTCGACCACACTAACGGAGAGCCGCCATCGTATATGCAGTCGAACATATCTGTGGGAAGTGTCGCGCACATAACTGTGTTAGCTACAAATCCTGCTTGGAAACGTTGTTTGCATTTGTCTAATCCTACAAATAGCGAATTTTGTACCATTCTTGGCTCATCTGTGGCTGGCTGCACGTCCAGGCTGTCGAAGCCCCATCCAAATGTACTAAAAACCATGTCGTTGGTTGCCCAAGTGTTGGTCAATTTAATGAACTCGGTCATTGTGCCTTTCAAGGGGGTGGTCAGCCTTACCAACGCAATGTCCATGTTGGTTCTGTATTCTACGAACTCATTTGGACTGTACACAGTGTCCACAAGGGAGAAGTTGTAATCCTCATCTTCCGCGTTGGCGGTGGTCACTACGCTGGCGTCGTCCAGCTGGTATCGAAATGGGTGAATGCAATTGGCCGACGATATCACCAATATGGGGGCATAGTATGAACCGCCACAAGAAAGGGTATCCGCGCCACCACTCCTAACGCGCACCAGCCAGCCACCAAAATTGTCTCCCGTATTGCTGCTCATGCCTTGCCATTGCCTCTGACCTATTTTCGTCTTTTTCGAAATTGAGTTTGAGTACACTTTGCTCCAAACTGGCGAACACCAGATTAGCAACAGTATCAGCAATCGTTGTTTCATATCTAACGATGTCTTAACTGTACACAAATTCAATTTCCACATATATGACTATGGCATCAAATGGAGCCTTAACACATTAACTTCGGGCTTTCTATAAAACAATTCTGATTCAATTTAAAACGATTTGATTCGCGTTTTGCACGCTTTAAAATTGGCGAAGAAGAGTTAAATATAATTACACGTAACTAATAGTACAAATTATGTCTACATTTCTATACCAAAGATTTATTTAATTTTTTATATATTTATGCATTTAAATATTTAATTTCTTTATGACACTATTTTGTCTAGTTTGCGATTGATTTTTATTTAAGGAATTTAATTCAGCTAGATGCTAGTTAATATCTTGTCGGCGATTCCACTTAAATTGCGGCGTTTATTATTTAACAATTTCAAAAGTCAATAAATTTGTTTTAGTGAAGATGGACATTCAATGACTTAAGTATCCTTTGGGCTTGGTGATCTTTTTAGGCTTTCCCACTGCTGACGGATTTCCCTTTTGCGACGCGCCAATTCACCAGACCTGATGCCTCTCCGAATATTCTTTATAAAAGGTGATAGTTTGATCACGCTCGTATAAATGCCAGGAAGTGAAGTATTCCTACATGTAAATCCCACCGAGGCGACGGCAACGAGTTGGTTTTTCCAGACCACCGGAGAACCACCATCGTAAATGCACTCAAAACTATCCTCGGGCATTTTCGCGCACAGAACAGTGTCCGAGACGAATCCCGTCTGAAATTTTGTTTTACATGTATCCAGCGCCGTAAATGTCAGGTCTGTCTTTCGTGGATCATCTGAAGGTGGCTGTACCTCCAGGCTGTCGAAGCCCCATCCAAATGTAAGATATGTTTCGCCAAGGCCCGGCATTACGGGGGCCAGCTTAATGAATTCGGTCATGCTGCCTTTTAAGGGACTGTGTAGCCTGACCATCGATATGTCCATGTTGGTTTTAAGTGCCGTGAAGCCATCTGGAAAGTAAACTGTATCAACTCGGGAGAAGTTGTAGTCCTCGTCTTCTGCATTGGCTGTCGACACTACGTTCGCCTCGTCTAGCTGGTATCGAAAAGGATTTATGCAGTTGGCAGAAGAGATTACCAATAATGGCGAAAAGTATGAACCACAACAGGAAAGGGTATCCGCGCCACCACTCCTAACGCGCACCAGCCATCCGCCAAAATTTTCTCCTGTATTTGAAGCCATTCCACCCCATAACCGATTTCTTATAATCGTATTTTTTGTAATTAATTTATCGTATATTTTACTTCTGACAAAGGGAATCCAGATAAACAACGTTAGCAGCACTTGTTGTTTCATTTCAACAACTTTCAATCCTTAACTGCAGAGAAATCCAATTACTACTACATGCTACAGAAACCGTCAATCATATATGAGTTATTCTAATTATCTCCGCTAAATCGATTCGTTTAGCTCATTTATTAAATTTAACATTGCAAGAAATTTTCTAATACTTATTTAAATTTAAATTTTTGCCCTGTAGACTCAGCTATCGACTATTTAGCAAAACTAATGTATAAGAGTGTAAAGTTTGTTTTGTGTCTAATTAGCTTTAAGATCATTTTCAAAGATCTATTTACTAGTTGGGAGTACCCGCCTAAGCGATACGCTAAGCCCAGGCAGTTGACGCATGTAAAAATGTCACACTTCTTTTGAACTAAACAAGTAAGAAATTCTAGTCGGGAGCTCCCGACTAGGGAATACAGTTCGCGCAACGCGCTCGTTTGAAGTAATAACGGTAAATTACAAAAAAAAGGGTCGAACTCGCAATTAACCGCATTACTTGCTGACGACTCTACTCAATAGCCACACCAGCAAAAAAAAAAAATTTATTTACCCAGTAGGGCTTGAACTCGCGGCAGACCGCACGACTTGCTATGCCTCTACTCAACAGCCACACCAATAATCTAGTATATTTGAGAAAAAAAAACGAATAACAATAACTGCACAGAAAATAATCGCCATTGCAATGCTGTTGATAGAATTCCAAGCAGAATCCATGTATATTAATGTATTCAGAAATTCTTGGAATTTGCGCTAGCTGCCGCAAACACGTGGGCAGCAAAAACACATTTTATTTTGTGTATTTCTTAACCGATGAAATTTTCTACAGTATATCTTATTGTACCATATAATATTTGTGTATTCTCAAAAAGTAAATTACGGCTTAAATTGGTGGGCAATATAAATTTGATTATTAACTTCATTATAGCTCCGATTTATAAAATGAAAGAAACTTGATATATATATATACTATTCTAGAGGCTACATGTCAAGTTTTGTGACTCTAGCTCTTAATATTTACCCAATTTGCTCAAAAAAACAGTATTTCTATTAAAATTTTTATCGATTACTTGGAAACGGGGAAATCTCGTATATTATAAGAGCTAGACACCAAATGTTACAAGTAGCTTCTTGAATAGTATATATATATATTAAACATATTTCAGTTTATAACTATTGTTACAATTTTACATTTATTTTTATTAATGCTAAAGCAAATGCTTTCGTAACGCTAGCTGCATGTGTTGTTGGTAGAAGAGGATTCAGGGTATCCCCTAGTCGGGAACTTGGGAACTGTAAACGTGTACCAGAGAGAAACTGAAGTCCTCAGCATTATTTAAGGAATATAATTCAGCTAGATGCATGTTAAGATCCTGCGATTCCACTAACATTGCAGCGTTTATTCAATTGAGTCATACAATTTGTAAATTCATTAAATTTGTTTTAGTGAAGATGGACATTCAATGAATTTAGTATCTTATGGGCTTGGTGATCTTTTCAGGCTTTCCCACTGCTGACGGATTTCCCTTTTGCGACGCGCTAATTGCCCAGCCCTGACAGCTCTCCGTATATTTTTTATAAAAGTCGATAGCTTGATCACGCTCGTATAAATGCCAGGAAGTGAAGTATTCCTACATGTAAATCCCACCGAGGCGACGGCAACGAGTTGGTTTTTCCAGACCACTGGAGAACCACCATCGTAAATGCACTCAAAACTATCCTCGGGCATTTTCGCGCACAGAACAGTGTCCGAGACGAATCCCGTCTGAAATTTTGTTTTACATGTATCCAGCGCCGTAAATGTCAGGCCTGTCTTTCGTGGATCATCTGAAGGTGGCTGCACCTCCAGACTGTCGAAGCCCCATCCAAATGTAAGATATGTTTCGCCAAGGCCCGGCATTACGGGGGCCAGCTTAATGAATTCGGTCATGCTGCCTTTTAAGGGACTGTGTAGCCTGACCATCGATATGTCCATGTTGGTTTTAAGTGCCGTGAAGCCATCTGGAAAGTAAACTGTATCAACTCGGGAGAAGTTGTAGTCCTCGTCTTCTGCATTGGCTGTCGACACTACGTTCGCCTCGTCTAGCTGGTATCGAAAAGGATTTATGCAGTTGGCAGAAGAGATTACCAATAATGGCGAAAAGTATGAACCACAACAGGAAAGGGTATCCGCGCCACCACTCCTAACGCGCACCAGCCATCCGCCAAAATTTTCTCCTGTATTTGAAGCCATTCCACCCCATAACCGATTTTTTATTATCGTTTTTTTTGTAATTAATTGATCGTATATTTTACTTCTGACAAAGGGAATCCAGATAAACAACATTAGCAGCACTTGTTGTTTCATTTCAACAACTTTCAATCCTTAACTGCAGAGAAATCCAATTACTACTACATGCTACAGAAGCCGTCAATCATGTATGAGTTATTCTAATTATCCTCGCTATTTCTTGCTAATTCGATTCGTTTAGTTCATTTATTAAATTAAAAATTTCAAGAAATTCTCCAACACTTTATTTTAACTTAAAAATTTGCTCTGTAGACTAGGCAGTCGACTATTTAGTAAAACTATTCTATAAGAGTGTACAGTTTTTTTAATACCCTGAAGACATTAAAAGTGGTATAATGTTTTTTTTTGCAAATGTATGTTAAAGGCAGAAGGAAGCATCAATAGCCAAGCCGATCTAGCCATGTCCGTTTATTTGTCCGTGCGTCCGTCCATCCGAATGTATGAGACTTGAAATTTGAACATAGGTCCTCCTAGTGCCTGCGTAGTACGCGTTTGTTTCTAAGTAATCAATGCAAATAGACATCGAAATCCTGTTTTTTGAGCAAATTTTGTGTGTAACATGAGCTAGAGTCACCAAACTTGATATGTAGCATAGTGTATATATATCAAGTATCTTTTATTTTATAGCTATCACCACCTCCCCGCTACTACCTCATAGATATAAATTAAATAAATTAACCAACTTATACTGCCCACATATATAAGACAAAATTTAAATGCAATTGACTCTTTGAGAATACAATTCTACTATAGTAGAATAGTAGATCGTTGAAAATTTCATCAAAATCGGTTAAGAAACACAAAAGTTATTAAGGAAAACGCCTTTTAGCTGGCCTCGTGTCAGCAGCAGCTAGCGCAGATTTTAAGAATTTCTGTATATAGTATATACACACATCCAGGTGAATACTGATATTAAAAAACCAAGCAATGGGCTTTTGCGAATTACAATATTCATATTTTATTTATTGCTGTTTTCGTTTTATTTATTTTACTTTTTTGTACTTTTGATTAATATTATATGTCAAGGCGATTGAGATGTGATTAGACTAAATGTGATTATTATGTTAAGAGTTTACTGATCTTCTACTTTCTACTATTCTAATTATTATGTTCATTTATAATGTTTGTTTAAGAAATAGAATTTGGAAGGCTGTCGATTGCTTAATAAGAAATAAATCTGGATGGGCTGCGTCGACTGGAGCGACAAAATTGTGGTATCGGCAAAAATAGCCCACTTAAAGGCCCTGCAACTGAAGTTATTTCCGGATCGGGACCCTGGATGGCACTAATTAAGAATAACGATACTGACAAGCCATATTCTTGTCTACAACTTTAAATTGAAAGCTAACTATTGAATTCACATTTTTATATACAAAATTCGTTTTAACCGTGTACTGCGTACGCTGAGATGTAAGTAAGTATTAAGAATCTCACAAATAAGAGATGAAAAACCTTAACTTTTTCAAGCACATTAAGAATATTTTTCATTTTATTTGTACAGAGAATCTGTGACCTTGGGCGATAACAATCTATTAAGTGATGTGGATTGTTTCAAATCTAAGAAACAGAATGGAGCCAATCGAAAGGGTGATTGTGCACGAAGATTTTACATTTAATGAAATGAATGCAAATGACATAGCTCTACAAAAGCTCTTCAGAAAGGTTAAAATTCAAGGTTAGTTAATTCATTATCATATATTTACTATACTATACTAAAAAACTGAGATATTCCCAGATCACATCAGTCCCATCTGCTTGCCGGTGAATGCAACCCTGCAACAACAAATGGAAACTCTGCCGACGCTGCGACTTACTGGTTGGGGCTTTGACGAGCTACTGGATACTTCTATAAAAGGTCGGATAAACTGTATAGAAAATTTTGCTCATTTCGGACCTGTAGTAATCGGTAGTTTGTGTAGCTTTAAGAAGCCCGTCTTCTGCTGAGTATGTTTGGAATTGTCAATGCGGGCTTTAGAGACTGCGTTACGACTACTGCTGTAAAGGTTGCGAACTATATGCCATGGATAAGCTGCACAGTAATCTCAATATGGTATATCGATATTCCCCAAGAGAGAATTACATTTTATTTCATAATATGTAATCAAACGTAAAGAACGCTTAAAGAATGCGTTTTTGCTGTTTAATATAAATTTTGCATATATATATATATTTGACTATACACTAAGAAAAAGAATTTGTCATTTCGTTATCTGTATTTCTCAGAGTCGATATTTATTCTAGTTTATAAAGGTATATCATTTTAAAATCGGACATAATTTAACCGCGATATAGCATTGGTCTTAATGTCTGAACTACGCTGAATTTGTACTTTTCTGCCAAATCTGACGTATTCCTGCCCCAACAAAAAATAAAAACCAGCTCCCAGATGAAGTATATTTGTATTATTGCTTAAGCAAACGCGTTCGTAACGCGAGCTGCATTTGGCGTTGGTACTTAGAAAAGGGTTCAGTATCCCCTAGTCGGAAACTCCCGACTTGAGCCTCTTAATTGTTTTATTAACATGTTAAGTATTTTTACTCGTATTCATTTATCGATTTATTATAGGTTCTATAAACTTTTTCAATTTACCACTGCGGGCGAATTTGTCTTTTGTCGCGCGACAATTGACTAGATCTTACACCTTTGTGAATCTCCAGTATGTAGGGTTTCATCTTAATGATGCTCGTATAAATACCAGGAGTCGTTGTATTTTTACAAGTAGCTCCTACTGAGGCGATGCCAACGAGCTCGTTTTTCCAGACTATCGGAGAACCACCGTCGTATATGCACTCAAAACTATCCTCGGGAAATTTCGCGCAAAGAACGGTGCTCGACACGAATCCCTTTGGAAATTGTTTCTTACACCTGTCTATATCTAAATGGTGCACTATGGTTTTCCGTGGCTCATCTGATGGTGGCTGCACTTCTAGGCTGTCGTAACCCCAGCCAAAGGTGTAAAAACTTGTGCCAGCGGTGGGCTGCTTGCTGGTAAGCTTGATGAATTCGGTCATCTTACCTTTTAGGGGCGTGCTTAGCCTGACCATTGCTATGTCATAGTTGGTTTTTTGTGGAACAAAATCGTGTGGTGTGTAAACCGAATGTACCAGGGAGAAACTGAAATCCTCATCAACCGCATTGGCAGTCGACACTACACTGGCATCGTCCAGCTGATATCGAAATGGGCTTATGCAATTGGCCGATGAGATCACCAATAGAGGTGAATAGTAGGCACCAACACATGAGAGGGTCTCCGCGCCGCCACTTCTAACGCGCACCAGCCAGCCACCCAATTCGATTTCCTCAGTGAATCTGAAGCCAACCCATTGACGCTCAATTATCTTCGTGTTTTTCGTAATTGCATTCATGTACAGTTTGCTCTTAGCTGGGCAAGCTAAATAAATCAACAGAAGCAGCAATCGTTGTTTCATCCTGTTAAAGTTCAATCTTTTTCTGCAGAGAAGTTACATTTTCATAACAACGTGTTATGCGCACGGCTTATGCATTAACTGCAACTCATTTAAATTTTCTACGTATTTGTCAACCCATTAGACTCACTTAATAGTTTTAAGCAATTTTGTATACCTCTCGCAATTATTGTCTTATGGTTGTTTTCCTATTGATGTGTCCATATCCCCTCGTAGTTAATATATAAAATATGGAATTTACACAGTAGTTGATCTTAACCAACTTATTGCAGTCGGATGCAAACTTTACTGTCGTAACATATTTTTTTGTGCCTTCTAGGTTATGTTTTAATCATTGTTTTATTTATACGTATATGAAAGGTATGTTCTTTCACCCACTCATTAACAAAAAAAATTGAATTATTCTTATTCATTAAAGTCGTTTGACGTCGTCGGCCACTGAGCGTTCATCATTTTAAGCGAGCGTTTAAATATCCACTTTGATGTATATTTTTGGCACCAAACCCGTCACCGTAAATGCGACACATCTGAGATGACATCACGGGCGGATTGCGTACTTTTCGCAACGCGCTTAGCGGTACTTTCGCAGCCACCACCCCAAATATATACATGCATATTTTTATAAAAACAAATAAGCTACCGAAAATTGAGCCAGCCGATTGAGTTGGGTGCGCAGTTATTTTGGGAATTGCGCAATTTGGGTTTCAAGTGCAAAAACTGGACGCTGAACCCACGACAACAACAGCCACAACAACAACAACAATAACAGAAACACTTCCTGACACTTTGTCGTCAGCTACATGCTTCGAAGGGCTCCGCTCTTTCTTGTTGCTAGGCTTCCGGCATTGCTGATGGCCAGCGGCGCACGTAGGCTCCCATTCAACGGCACCCATTGGCACCCACTGGCACCCACTGGCGACACCACTCGGTGGCTCATTGGAAGCCGGTTCACGCAGCTTTACGCTCTATGTGCCATCATAATCGTCATCGTTACCCCATACGATTGCCATGCCTAACAGGTGTGCACAGCGTGGTTCGCACGCCCAGTTCTGGGCCCAGGTTTAATAAACCGCCGATTTGGACACATGCTCCGCATTAATTCGGCGAATCATTGCCGTCGCGCCTGCGCCGCATGCTGAATGAGGCGGGAAACGCGTGCGCGGTTCGCCTCTGATGTAGTTGCCCGTAGCCTATTTGCCTATTTATGCAAGGCGCATTTAACACTAGAAAGCCGGTTGGGTAAGAATGGTCTAGTTTATATTGTCATGGCTTAGTAAATTATTTTAATTGAATTAAAATATTTACGATTTATAAATCAAAAATAACTTGTCTCCATGTTATGCATTAGCCTTTTCTTATTCATACATTTTCACTTATTACATATCCCAATTTTCAGTTAAGTTTCTAAAGTAATATTAGAAACCCGCCGCCTTGTGTGTAACCAAAGAAACAACCAACCAAATATATTGGCAGTTAGGAGACTGATTTTAATAGATATAAACCGCGAATGCTGGAAAAAGAAAGATTGAGATCGAGATAGGTTGAGCGACTAAGAGATACTGTTTTTTAGATTGGGCACACAATTTGTTAACATAAACTCGAATAGCAGGGCACTATTAAGAAATACAATTTTTATTTTATTTGCATAAGCATTAGCTTAAATCGTATTTGTTTTCTCAAGTTCCCTGTTTTGGGTTGTACAGGTATTTCTGGTGTTAAAATGCATTATAAATTTACGTGGTATCTAGCACACAAATCGAATCTTAATTCCTACAATTTGCATTGAATATTGTTAACACTAATTTCCTTTGTTTCAATTGGCAACACCTTCCTTCTGCAGAAATACAATGGTGATACAGAAAAACTACACGCATTTCAAATCACAATTCCATGGAAATGTTGTTTACACTTTGTATTTTTTTCTCAGAATAATGGATATGTTTTGCGCCAACGCCATCCGCATTAAAAGCAACATATTTTGTTTATCTAGCACATTGTTTGCTTTGTTGGTAAATATATTTATATGATATCCTTGCTGCAGCTGCACAGCCGCGTATCCTCCCCCCCCCCCCCCCCCCCCCCCCCCCCCCCCCCCCCCCCCACCCAGCGTGATAAAGTTTTATTTTTTATAGGGGAAGAAAGAAAAACTTGTTCTGCTTATAAAAAGATAGTGGTGCTGAGCTGTCTGGCGTAATTTGAGAAAGTTAATGATCTCAACTGTGCCCATCTGTTGTTGTCGGTCTCCGGCCTGCCAGAAGATGCAGCTCTCCAGTGTAATTGATTCTTCCTGCCGTTTGTCAGGAAGCTGAAAAAAATAAAAAATAACTTGTCAGACAGATCGGAAGCAGAGATAATATTTTTGTTGGTCCGGCCGTCGTGTCCATTGATCAGTGTAATAATCATCCTTTGATCTTGAGTTACTTTTGGGCACATCGAAGCTATTGAAGAGCCCAAATACTAAGCTCTTCGAATCTTAGGTTTCCAAAGTTTCACATTAGTGGGTGTTCCAATTCGCTGAATTAACAGAACTGCGCAAAGTTAAAAGTTGCATTTTGATATCGTTTCTTTCCATACAGCTTCTTTTTTCATGCACCAAACGCTACTTCCAACTACACAGCTCTCTTTGTTAATAACTTGAATGCCGGCAGCGTAATTTGATATATCATACACGATCCCATCTGATAGGTGCTTGACCCAACTCTTTAAGTCTGACATTTTATAATTTCTGTTATATAAAAACGAAGGCGTTTTGAAATTGAAACTTCTTGCAACAGTTCACCCATCAGCGCTAAGGATGCTGCGTGATTAGCTAACTGACCTTTACCTGCTTGCGAACTAATGAACTTCGAGCATACATCAGGCAAAATGTTAATGACCGCAATTAGCTGGCGTTGCCACATTGGAAAAACGATAGCTGCACCAAAAGTTAGCTGCTAATTGGAATAACATCGAATTGGAATGACAGTGGGTGCAACTACACTTTTAGTTCTCCACTTAAGCAAGGAGGCTAAGTTGGCAGGCTAAGTTTGATTATGCCCAGAGCTGGTCACACTGCACATACAAGCCGGCAGAAATGTTGCGGATTACCACAAAACGCATTTCCGACATCGAACATGTACCAACTTGTCGTTAAAGGACACACATGTTTGAGTGTTGTATTGTGTTCGACAAGGTTCGATTTTTCTTGGGGTAATCTTTGGAAGCACTACGTGTAAAAGATATATTAGGTATAAGGTAGTTTAGTTAAATTCCTTCGAAGAGTTTGATGAAATGTAGCTTATATATGAACGGTATGAGGTGTAGATGACACTTATGTCTAAAGATGATAGGGTTGACAGTATGAGTGCAATATAAGTAAAGGGAATCTAAAAGCTGTATATTTTAATCCTTAGAACAAAGGATTGTGCAGAGACTGTTGGGGAAATATTAACTCTAGAGATTAAAATGAAATTTTTAAAAATGGTTTAGTATTTGCTGGAAATATTCTTTTTATCAATTCTGCACTTATTTCTGCATTTTAAGAGCGTTGTGAAACAAACACAGGAACTATAAATGTAGGTGTAACTGTACCCTTGGTATGCGACCAGTGTTAGAAACTTAAACAAAAAACTACTTTCTCAAGTTCTCGAATGACTAAAAACTTTGTAAGCTGAAACCGCATGTATTTGGCAAACTATTTTTTTTTTGACAACTTGGTACATGGAAACTGAACAACACTGCAGCAAATACTAACAGCAGCAGAATTTGCAACAACAACAACATACCAACAAGTGGCGTTGCCAGAAAACTTACGTCATCTTTGCCGTGCCCCAAACGCAGCAACTAGCGTTGGTATATTTACTGCACGCATGTTGTGTTTACCACCCCACCGAGCCGACCCAAACCCGATACGAACAGAGTTGCCACGCTCGGATGCAACTCGAACTTGTGCGCAGGAAGTCAGCTGCGAACCACTAAAGGCTGAGGGAAAAAAATGAAACCAAAACAGTTTCGCAACGAACGCAGCTCGTAGCAGACGCAGCGGGAGTCTCAGGTTGAGGTCCAGGCGCTCAGTGTCCGGGTCCGTGTCCTGAGCCAGTTCTCATACTCGTTCGGCACTCGTTTCTGTTCGCTTCGTGACGTTGCACTCGTCGCAGCGAATCCGTTTTGAAGTTTGAAATCAGTCGCTGCCGACTTGTTGTGTCATTTGCATATTGTCAACATAAGTGGTAGAAACTGTTTTCGCTGCTCGTTTTAGTTTTCGATTTTAAACCATATCTGAATTAATAAAAATTAATTTTAAAAATGCATTAAATTTTAATTGGCAATTTAAGTGCACAATAAACACATGTCGCGCATTGCACGAGTGAAATTTTAAATTAGAATTGACATTTTTGTATAAGCCGCTAATTGGGAACTGAGTGAGTTTGAATTTCAATTATAATTAAATTGTTTTGGCATTTAACCAATTCTTTGATGTTAACTCATTCGTAAATTGCTCTTTATTGAGGTGCGTATCAGCATTTGAATAGTGAAAACTTTTGAATATAATTTGTGGTTGTTAAGCTTTTGTTTGGGTAATTAACGAAAGTCTTCTTGGTCGCTGTGGTAAAAGTCCATTAAAAAAGTTTTCATAAGCACTGACTGGCTTTTTACGGGCATCAATGGTAGAATTATTAATTAGTTGGATTTTTAAAAGTATTTCTTAGCAAGCTAAATTTTTTGGCCCTTATTTAAACAACTTATATATTTATAATAGAACCATAAAAAGTCACTCTTTTAATAGTTCTTTAAAGTTTTTAAGATGGTCTCAAAGTTGTTTTTCTTTCTATTTGTCTATATTTTGATAAGACGACCGATCGGTAAAATATTTTGATATCAAAGATTAAAGATTAATTTAACATTAAAATTTTTTTTTTTGCTGCAATCGATTGGAAAAACTGAATTTGATTATAAAAATAGTTGATTTCTTATATATTTCCCATATGAAATATAATTGCAAGCAAATAAGGTATCTTTTTGAAAAAGATTTAAAGATTTCTTTAATGGGTGCAAAGTTTGTACACAAACTGTTTATTTTCTGACGTTAAATATAGTTTTACAACTTTTTATTCATTAACCATAAAAATTAAAAAATTGCCTTTAAATTACTTTAAAAATATTTATAAATTAAATTTGATTAGCCACAAGCCTAAGCCAAAGGCAGTGGAATACTTTTGAATATCTTTACAATCAACTTGGGTGAAGCACCGTAAGCAGGAAAATACGGCAAAGTGCAGGTAAAGATTTACTAAGTTCGACAAGACGCAGCTTCCTCAGATCCGGATGGCTGCTGATTTGATTAGCACTGCAGTCTGTGAAGGCTAAGATGGGAGTGCGAGAAGCCATGAAATTTTAATTTAACTTTCACCAGACAGCACTCATTATGTGTGCGTGTGTGTGTCCAAAGCAAAACATTACCATTATATGCTAAGGCATGGAACTGAAACTAAAAATAAAGACAATGCAATTTTATTGCGCAATTTCGCAGCGGCAACGTCTTGCAAAGTGATTTCTGCGGGCAGGCGGGTCCGGGGAGCTGGCAATTGGAGTTGGAGGACAATTCCAGGCTCTGTATAGGCAATGCTGCGCTGCGGTAATTTGCGAATGAGACGTGTTGGTCCCGTTGTTTAATGTTGTCTTTTAGCGCTGTTTTATATTGGTTTGCTTACATTCAATTAGGCGAACGCACGAGCGCGTTCAAGTCCCGCCCAACACCTCATAGTTCCCCTCGAACATTAAAAGCCAATGAAAGGATAACACGAAAATGGCCACTGCGCTCTGTCTCAGTGTGTGTGTGTGTGTTTGTGTGTATGTGTGTTTGACTTGTCCATGTTCCTTCCACAATGTGTGTTTAATTGTATATTACGTATACGCAACATTTGACGCATTGTGGGCGTTGCGCACTCCTTGTCCTGTGCGCGCCCCTCGTTGTGTTTTGTGGTGTGTATATTTTAATTAGCACATGTGACGTTACACATACCTCCACATATATGCATGTGTGTGTGTGTGTGTATATGTATGAGTGTTGTAAATTGTTGTGTGTTTGTTTTACCGTTGTATTTGCTGTTTTCTGCCGCTTTTTATTGCTTTCGAAATTTGTTGAAAATGTTATGTGTATATGTATTTTTTTTATGGCCCGCGACTATAATTGCGCCAGTTTAATGAATTGCACTGGCCACATTATAAATGATAAATATCTATATGCCTGGCCGTGGTGCCAAATGTACGATCAAGCAAATGGAAGTTATAATGTGTTTAATGACTGCAACATTTAATAGGCCAAATGGCCAATAATTAATATGCATTCAGCTAAATATTTATATTTATACAATTAGCAAGGCATTTATATATGAATGCGTTTCTTAAAGTATCACATGCTATTCAGATACTGATATGTACAGTATTCTATTGTTGACAGGTTAAATCCAGTAATTGGGAAAATTGTTTACTTATAGTAATAGTATTTTAAATCTTATTTCAAATTCATATTCAATTGATTAATATTGATATATTTGACCATTGTGCGCTCTGTTGACAGTGTTGAAAGTTAAAGTTGAAAGGGTTATGCTGCTTTAAAAAGCACAAATGCAGTTTAAAGCATCAACATCAGAACCATTTATCAAATCATATAAGGTAATAGGGTGGTATGCATCACGTGAACTAGAGCACCTGGCGATATGAAATGGAAATAAGATATGCGCACTATTTACACTTGATTAAAATCAAATGAATTAATTAAGAGTAGTCGAGTAACTAACGCAGTTTAACTTTGTGCGCTTAATATAAGTTTGCTTTTATATTAAAACCTTACGCTAGTTTCTTTGAATTGCAAATTTAAATCTAATCAAAAAAAACATTAATTAAACAAAATTATGAAATAAATAAATGTTGAATATGTAAATCATTAAAAATAAAAAACAGGAAATGTTATGAACATATAAAAATACAGCTTAGATTTTAGGCATATTATTTTTTAAATTTTAATTAAAAACTATTATTTAAAAGTTTAGTTATATTTTCTTAAATTAATAGTGTGTTTGTTTAGGGCAACACATATTGCCAACTTATTTAAAAGTACATTTGCGAGCTGTTAAAATGCATTGCTGGATTGGCTTTCCCTTAAGACTTCCGGTTCAATAAACTCACAGCATTTATTTGTCAGGAAAAACCACAAAAAGGGCAGCTTTTTGTTGTTTTAAGCCATACTGGGACCCGTGTCCCTTTGGATTATTTGTTGTCCGTTCGGCACACAATAATTATGAGTCCTATGCAGAGCGCACTTTTGGCCATTTTTACTTTACCTCAAGACAGTATTTTAGTTATAAAAGGCGACAAATATAACAGAGACAATATAAATGAAGAAAAGCAAATGGCGACTACCTGTAATGTAAGAAAAAACAGATTTCGAGTGCGTTGCAAGCTTTTACTGCGATTTTCACGCTTGCATGGCTTTTCACGCTGTTTGCTTTATATAAGTACTCTATATTATACACTTGGTATTATTTTTGGGACCTTTGAAAGCTAGCTTTCTAGCTCGCTTTGTCTCTTTGAGTCCCTTGAAACTCAGAATCATCATAAAATATTTAACAACCTGAATGCACTCACACATTTATGAAAGTGTAAATATTTAATGATGAATGCTTTGCCGCCCTCTCAAACAGCCAGCAGGACGGTCAGACTGCTGGTAGTATGGCTTTGTTCCGTAAATACTAGACGAGAAATTGGTAAAGTTTGTGGGTGCAATTTAATGGCCACAACGGCCATTTATTGGTACATGTGGTGTATGCGTAATGTGTTGTGTTTCGCTTTAATGTATGGTAAATGTTTGTGAATTGTTAATCGATTGTGTTTTTGGCGATAAACGGCGCTTTTAACACAGACGAGGGAGACTGATAAGTAGGAGCAGAAGGTCGGATCTATCAAATGCAATCAAATGGAGATCTCGAGTGTTTCCATGTAAACCAAGTTTTAGTGCTCACCTTCGAACTTGGTTTACGTTAATAATTTTTCATTTATTTAAGCGTCTCTGTTTTGATTGAAGCTTGGTATTGCGAAACAATCGATAACACTTTCGGTTAAAAAATGTGAAAACAATTTGGAAAAAAGAATCAATATAGTATTATTGTTAGCCGAAATAGCTTACTTCTTAAATATTTATGTGTAAAAATGTGTTCTCGTGCCATTCTATTGATTCGGTGCAAGCACATACCAACTGACCCTCGTATAAGGGTACACAACCTATAGCAACAATAGCAGTTTTTAAATTGAGGTCAACACCTGTTATCCTTTTGCGGGGCAACCTATGAGGGACAGCTTGTAATGGCCTGAGCCAAAAATACTTGAACTTCTGTACACATATTTTATAATTAATAAAAATTATGCGCAGAGCGCTCACAGCGCTCATAATTAAATTCATGATAAATTAAAGTCGACATGGCGTGAAGGAGTTTGCCTAGAGGACAACGTCTCGACTGTTAATCAACTCACGCAGCTGCAAAGCGGGGCAAGTGAGAAGTCGGCAAAAGACAAGCGCAAGTAATGAAAGCCATTAAAAAAGGCGGCGGCTTAACTTGGGAAAATCGATAGGGTGAAGAAAGCGTACGTCAGGGAAAGTCGTGAGAAGTGAAAACTGATAAAATGCAGCACAACACACACACGCAAACAATTTGTGACCTGGACTTGCCGCAGAGTCAGTTATTTTTCATAGTTAGTTCGTACACACACGCACACACACAGACACACACACATGCTGGAAATGACTGGAAAAGCGGAGCATGTCAGCCACGCGCTGCTATTATTCATATTACGATGTACAGTCGGGGCTTATTTAGTGCACTTGCCCAAGCACCGCCCCGATATGATGGTAATGGGAATGAAGTGTGTTTGAGGCGTCGCCGCCGATGCCGCTGTTACTTTTGCGGTTGCATGCGGCGCATTGTCACTTGTCCACTAAGGGAAAATAATTGGTCCGCCTAGAGTCAACTGTGCAAGCTAACCATCATATCAATTTCGATTTCACAACACGAAAAGTGGCCAAAGTGGAAAGTGCATAAAAAAATGATTTACATTTTGCATTTTTTGCTTAACCATGCAGGTCAAAGAACAGTTATTACTTATGGATTACGCAACAAATACTTGGAATAATATTTATTTTTAACACCACAATTATTTTTCAGAGCTTAAACTTTTAATTGAATTAAAAGATTATATGAAATCTTACAGCCTGCAGATTTACG